GATTCAAAGCTGTTCCTTACAAAGTAGTAGCATAATTGCTTGGTGAGTCCAACCGGGCAGCGGAAGGCATGAACTCGAATCATGTATGATGTCTCCACTGGGAAGGTGATTGGGTCAAAGTAGGCAACGACGGAGTGATAGTTTTGGTATTGCAAACGCCTAAAAGCTATTATAGCCGCTTATCATCAGGTGGACCCAACGATATTAAATACCCTAGATACACCAACACAAACAACATCGTGCCCGAAACCTGTCCAAAAGGTACATTGAACGATCCACGGAGCTCCGTAAGATGATCGCGTAGTCAAAATCAATATAAGGCATTATTTAAATGTTGAAAGTAACCTTTAATACATACTGTTTAAGGTCTTAAATAAAACGTATACGTCAAGGACTTCTGACAGTTCGAAATACAAGCTCGTAAAATTTTACGACTTATTGCTATATGCGGAAGTATTCAGACCATAGTTCTTTGACTCAGAAGACTCAGCAGGCACGGACCGCGAGCAAAAGAGACGGCTATATGGCGACGTATAACCGACCATGCATTTGAATATCACAAATATTTTATATTAAATGAGCTTATAGGAAGTATTACTTAAATTAACAAACATTGATTAGATATCTGTCGAAAAAACGATACTTTGCGTACTCTAAGTATTATTTTTGCATTTTTTCGCGGAGCTCTGTAGCATCTTGACTTTGTAACGGTCCGCGCGTGACTGTAAACCAAGAAGTGCTTGAGTGGAGTTCAAGCACTTCTTGTTTGGGACACATTTTGAGCGCTCGTGGTGTATCTAGGGTATTTAATATCGTTGGGTGGACCATATATTTTTTTAATAAAACTTTGTACACGTTCGGTGACATTAAACACCTTACAGAAGAACACTACCTTTTTGTAGTGTTGTTTCTGTCGGTGAGTACCTAAGGTTCCAGGGCTCCACGGGTAGAGGTTTTTTTGAATTATTCTGTTTTCTTCGCTTTATTAAAATGGTCTGGGTTATTTAGTTTGTTTCTTCTATGTTTTTAACTGTTTTGTCAGACCCAGTCCCGGGGTGACGCTCTTCCATACGTCCCCGGGGGCTGAGGCTGAGGCTGAGGGATGGCTGTAGCGCTGCTCCTCCTTAGTCTCCTCTTCGAGCGGCTGCTGCACACATGGATGGAGCACTGTTTCCCCTAGCCCTGGTTCTGCGAGTAACACCCTGGTGGGAGGGGGCGGGGCAGGATGAGGGTCTGCCATAAAGGTGGAGGGATTTGGTGCCGGTGAAGCGAGGTGCAGAGAATGGGCCTGGGCAGCGGTGACAGAGGTACGGGTAGGGGATTGGGTTAGGGTAGGCAACAGGACGAGTGTTATTTTTGCATCGCAAGCGTCTATAAGCTATAGTGTCCGCTTACCACCAGGCGGGCTATATGCTTGGTTGCCATACTTTTAACAATAATAAATATGTATAATGAAAATTTTTTACTACCTGTGCGGTTAACCTAATACCTAGGGCATTCAACATTTCTCCCGGTCTCAAACCGGCAGAGGAGCACAAACGGATATAATAAAATGCATTGGTCAAGTTTACATAAAGCCATCTCCTATTAATATCGAAAAATGTAATTTGTTACAAAACATAAATACAGAATATTATACATTAATAGATTTTATAGGGTAATTGGACATATGTTACGACGAACATACTAATCTGTTATTTGGATCCAAGCCACAAGATTAAAAAAATAGGTATATAAAAGAATATTTATCATTCGGTTTTACTTCTAGTACGTACATCACTAATGGTATGGTATAATCAAATGAAACTTTCGCTATTATCATTTATCTGGGATCTTGGGTCTCATATAACTGGGTCAAAACTGAAAATAAGCCTTTTACTATCTGAGTGAACGATACACTGTTTTCACCTATTCGCAACGCTTGCTGTTAAATGTATGCACTATGCTTATTAATTAATTGCGCAAGACGAATCAAATTTTAAGATTGCTGCCACTGTTGTTATTTCTTGTCAGTTATTGTATGTGGCCATGTTGGTGTGAAGAAAGATTCATTAATCTACCTATTCAAATTTGAATCAATTTTAATTTTATGTAGACCAACTCGTTACAACAATTTATTAATAGGTGACAACTTTTAGTATGGTACGGGTAAAGTGCTTTTTAAGTCGGAAGTTCTCGGCGTGGCGCTACTGTTGATCTTCAGAAGAATTTTTCGGGGAGCATTTTGTAAACTTCAGGCCTAATTCAACAACAAATAAATTATAATTTTACTGATATCCAAACAAGAAAAACACTGACATCTACCACAAAGCCAGATCGGTCTTGTTAAATTAGTACCAATATTTGCCGTGGAACCACAAGTGAAAAAGACACGATTTAGTGGTGAATAAAACAGATAAGATACTCTTAAATTCATTTTATTTTTCGTCCGGTACAAGTTTATTATAGACTTATAGTCTAGAGGGTCGCTTCGCGCTTAATAAATGCAGTTTAACTAGGCTTATATCAAAGTATCAATAAAATGTACGTAAATATGACGTTTTTTACAAAATATCTTTTTGAGAGATAGATAGAACATAGAAAAAATATGGTCACTAAGTAATTAAACTGGAAAAAAGTTAGGTATAAAAAGTGTTAAAAGTTTTATCAATGCTAAGCTATTTGCAACCTTATCACGTTTATTATATAAATAAATAGCAAAAAATATTAATCAAATACAACATGACTCATTTATAATTCTGTGATCTGATAATGGTGCGATTACATTTGGTCGTTAGCTCGAATACGAGTGCCAATACGGGCGAACTACCAGATGTACCTGCGGCATTAATTAAGATGTTAACTTAAACTTTGGAGCCGTTCATAAAATACGTCACGCTAAAATCAGCTTTTCCGACCCCCCCCTCCCCCCCTATTGTAACGCTGTGTCATACTTTCGGTGACCCCTCTTGAAATATTCCGTCACAAAAACGGAGAAATCTATTAACTTATTATTATTAACTTCATCGTCATCTATCCATTCTGCATTTTCTGTACCAGCTTTTTCATCTCCTGATATGCATAACTAAACTAAATACGAAATAAATGATTTTCTATCTTGATGAAAATTGAGAAAGAAAAATAGTTGAAAGAAATACTAATTTAAATTTTTTTAATGAACGACGAACGTCACGTTGCCGTAGACTCCCCCCCCCCCCCTTGTATGCGAACGTATTTTATGAACGGCCCCTTTCTAGTTTGCTCTGGGAAACATTTATGTTTAATAGTTTGATTTTTTAATGCTTAAAAGATCTAACTTTACGCAAACGCAGTTGAGAAAGTTTACAATTCACCTAACGTGCGTACAATCCGATAAAATGGAACAGCATCATGAAATCTGGTAAATAAATCATAAATACTACAGCCACACTATTGCACTATCGCGAACATTTGCAGTTTTACTGACATTTTTGACCGAGTTCTGAAATCTGGCTATTGCTTTACCCGACTTGTCCTGAAAACGGACACAACGGAAAGTGTTCGTGATAGCGCGACATTGTAGCCGTAGCATAAGTAATAAAGATCTAAATAGCGAAAAACCAGATTATTAAAGTAGTATGATTTAGAAATTCCCGTTGATTGGGTTTTCTTGCTGCGCAGTAAAGTTGTTTTTCAGTGTCATTCATAACTTCATACTATCGTGCATCTATGATCGCTTGGTTTATATGATGAGTGCCTAGCAAGCTGTTTTTCAGTTTAATTACTTCGAAACTAAGTATTACAAATAGGTATACAGTGTTTGTAAAATTGGTTTAAATAAATACTCTTTCACTGAAGTTTTTCCATCTTAGAAGATAACCAATCATTTATTCAACAAGAAAAACAATTTAAAGTGTGCATAGACCAATTCAACAAGCATATAAGAACCTCTTTTAACACAAAGTAACTAGGTTTACTTATTGTACGAAACAAACTTTATGGCGGTTGTGAAGTCAGAAGCGAACGCAACTATGCGCTATTTCAGTTTAGTAAAACGTAGATATGGAACAGGGATGAGCAAACTATGACTCGCGGTCCTTGAACATCAAACTAAAATTAAAGGTACACCCCTTAAAGTACTATTTTCTCCATGCTACGACAACCCCGCTGCAGGATATTTGGAGGTGAAGTTAATTGTTGAAAAAAAATACTAGTTAAAAGTTAATAGTTGAATAAAAATATCAGAAAATATCAGTTAATGTATGTTTTTATTCAAGTACAATCTGAATATTTTTCACAAGTATATTTATTGTCAATATTTTTATTAGTTCGGTATGTGATTGAAATTATTCATTATGATAATTTGATCAGTTGGTTATATTTATCTGTACGAATTAATTACTCACGTGTTAAAACCAACATGATTTGAATGAATATTTTTATTCGATATGGTTGAAAATATTTATCAAATATATGTGTTAACTTTTTTTTATTTGTTTAATTATCGGTTAGGGGCATTCGTTACTGAGCTATATTTTGATTTGATTTACATATTCTTATTTATGTAAAAGTTTGCCCATCCTTGATATAGAGAATGTTCTGAGCGTTCCCCCACTAACTGAAACCTAAATCAGGGTAAATAAGGGTAGACGAAGCGATCAATAGTTTGTATATGTATTGACTGATGCTGCACCAAGGCTTCCTCTCTTGCTAGAGAGTTGTAAATTTCATACATGTATTTGCGATACTGAGTCCAACTGCATTTCGTTTACTGCGCCGCGACTTGCGCTAACTTCACAGCCGCTATCAAGTTTGAATGGTGTGAATTGAACTACAAGTAATTTAGTTTTCGAAATATTAACTTTTTTTATCTATCCATGACCTATATCAATTTAAGCAGATATAAAAAATACCTTCATAATTTCTTGAAACTGTTTTAAATAATTTGAAACCAGGACTTTTGGAAAGTCACCAAATTGTGACCAAACACTTATTTTGTTCAAGCGTTTGGTGACCTGACATTAAAAAAAACTTTTATATTACTGGGGGCATATAAGTAGACGGCTCACTTGATACTAAGTGACCAAAATCGCCCATAGACATCTGCCACATCAGACGTAAATATAACAAATGCAATCCCCTCGTTTGAGAATGCAGCTAATAAATCTGGTTGAATTTTTAAAAGTTTACATACATTATGGTCAATTTTCGTCTAGATGAGCGTATACGCGTCGCAGTTTCTCCCTTTTGTTTTTGTTTGCGTGTTTCTTCTCTTGTTTCCAGGGCTTAAGGATGTGGGCGCCGGCTTGCTGAGCGCCTACTATTCTGCAAACCAAAAGGCACGTTAGAACAAGCACTTGCAATTTGGAATTGCGTTATAAATACACAATAGGGTATTTGACAAGTTTTAGATAACGATATCACGCTATTTACTAATGTTTATGGAGCCCAAAAAAAGATATAATAAAGATATATTCTGTTGCGTAATTCAGTAAAAAAACTAAATTAAAGATTCAATCTTCAAGTTGCCGCGAAAACGTTTCTCTTGACATTATGAGTCTCACTAGGATGTGACGTCACACGACTGTCATTAAAACGTCAAACGATACAATGTAATGTCATTTTGGCCGGAAATTCACTAGCGTGTGACGTCATTTTAGTATTGGCCAATCTCAGGTGTTTTCGGTCACGTAACCATGGAGCGGAAAAACATTTCTGTTTAATGATTTTATAGAAAAGTAATTAATTATTTGTTCTTTCAGAAAAGTAAAATCGCTGCTAATATTCATATTTAATACAGATGCTAGCAATTGGTACATTATTTTTCATACTGTCAAATAGCCTTTTATATATAAAAATAAAATAAAAATAAGGAAGCGGTTGCGACTTCATCTGCGGGGAAAAATTGGTTTCCCATAGAAACTTACATCCCCTTTTTACTTTCCGACGCCTGAAACTATCTCTATATATCAAATTGAATCTAAATCGGTTCAGTGGTTTAAGCGTGATGAGGTAACAGGCAGACACACTTTCGAATTTATAATATAAGTATGAATGGAAGTATTCAAATGACTTAAGTTTTATATTGCTTAACATACGATTTACAAAATATTGAGATTTTTTACAGTTAGTGGTAACTTGATGTGTGGCTGTCTGCACAAAGCACAAATATAGACTGCTGAAGTCATAAACCATTCCTTGGTCTTATCACTGTAATGTCACTTTTGCCGGAAGTTTACTAGCGTTTGACGTCAATTTAGTCTTGGCCAAGGCCAGTCACGTGACCATGCGTGGAAAAAATGAATATCCATAGAAGCTTCTGGTGCTGAAAGAACGACAGAAGACTTATAATACGCCCAGAGGAAATCAAAACTTTAAAAGCTAGAAACGTTTTGAGCTTCTTGGAATCTGTCGGACTAAAAGTGATACTCTAACTTGGTGGCGAATCACAATAGATCTTTTAGGTCACAGTGACTACAGTTGCATCCAAAACAAGTTTCAACGGGTTTGATGCACTGATTTTATTTATTCATTGACGTTTCGCATCCTTTGCAGGAATTCGTCGTCGGAATAATGTTTTTTTATTTATTTACTTTGTCGATCTACCTTCGAAAGACCTTTATTGAGCATTCGGATATTTAATTGGAAGATTTTGAATACTTTATTGTCTTTGTATGAATTTATTAGCTAATTCAATTAATAAAGTTCTTTATTTAATTATTTTTTATAATTTTGAGTTTATTTATTTTTCCCTACCTACCGTAAACTACCACGGGTTCTAAAATTGGAAGACCTTTCTGTGAAGAACCAGCGAAACAAACTCAGAGAGGCGTTCTATCTCCTTCTAATGTTAAATCATCCAAACAAAAAGAAATAATAGCATCTGTTGATCTTGCTTAATAATATCCTTAGAATTGGCACCACCAATTTGGAACAAATTCGCCAACCAAACCTGTCTGCAAGGCGCTTCTGCGCGCGTTGTTTATGCACATGTGTGCTGAGCTGGCAATGAATTCCATTTCCGAAATGTAAACAAAGAAATTAATCAGCATATTTCGTTCTCTGCATTGGAATTTCCCGCCGCGTTACGTTAACGAAACCAAAATAAAGAATCTTAAAAGCTTCAATGGTTACTTTTTTGTCTAAATTATGTCGCCCTTTGTTTTAGCTTGAAAGGCAGGGGCGTATTTACTTAGGGCTCTGGTCCGGGGCGGCAGGCAGCGTGGGGCGGCTGCAAGTGCTGCATGGGGCAGTAGAAACCACATAAAGCCATTTGTAACTGGCCTACATTTTGATTTGACTTATAACTGACCCGAGGCGCCATACTTCAAAATACGCCCCTGTTGAGAGGCGTTTAAAGATGATGATGAATAATAGGTTGATGATGAGGTGTTTCAGGAAAACTAACGCCACTAGTTGGCACAACTGTATTAAATGTACTGACATCATAGTTTAATTCTTGGCGAATTTGTTCCAAAGCCATGAATGATTATATGTATTTCTAAATAAATATATTTATAGATGTACTATATCCCTTACCCTAGTATCCCATAACACAAGCCTTACAGTGGTAACTGGTGGTCTAGGCTAATTGGTGTGATTATAGAAATATTTAAGTATTATATTTCCATCTCACAAATTCTTTAATAACAGTCTCGCAATTTTACCTATTTATAAACACATGTTATAATCATTGTTAATCTAAATTATCTTTTTATTAATCATCTCCTAAGCACGATTTAAAAAACTCCTTTAAATATTGACTTAACGATGTTATAAGCAACTTAAGAAGTCCATATACACACCGAAACAAATTAATTTACGGCGTGGCGAGATGAAAGAGTTCGTATATTATCAATTAGAGTTAAGGAATACCTAAATAAACTCGGGCGGGATGCGAAATGGGCACCCTGGATGTTAGCCAAGTGTTAATTCATAGACTCCCAACTTCTTTACGAGTTGGGGGTTAACGATCGTGAAAATTGCCCTGGATACGTGTTATGGCGGTTGGCTGCGCTGATTCGGAGCGGTGTGTAAGCTAATACAAATGTCAGGCTAACAGCAGTTTGCTTGCGAGTTATTGGAGGAGTTTGTCGGACCACCCAATAGTTATGGGTATAAATGGGGATACAGATATCTTTGGAATATTAATGTTAAAGTACACAAAGAAAGGGCAAAGCAACTATGTGGAGAAATGGAGGAGGCCTTCGGTATAAAAAGAGGTCCTTAATAAAAAAAAAATATAATGCGATTCAAATAAGAATAGGAAAGCCAATGACCTCCATCTGTCAAATGTCGCTTGAAAAGTGTGATTTGCAAAAAAAACTTGAAATCTTTTTTTAGCACTCAGCTAATTCTAGAATAAAAATCAAACATTTGTAAACAAACAATAACAAATATTAATAATGGTTGATATTTTTTTTTCATTTATTGAGCTTTGGCTATGAATGTTTGTTAACCTAAATCGTCAACCAAATGTCATTTTAAGTTGCGTTCAGAAACTCGATTTGGAACTTTCGTTTACATAAAGGATGCATGTTCGTCTGTGACCTAGTAATAGTGATTCATAACTACTCCGGTGGTAATGCAGAGATGAGCGGAATTGAAGAGCTTAATTCTGATTATTGTTTTTTCTCACACAGTCTTAATAAATAAATATTATTAAGAATCGGTTGTTTTCTTTTCTCAATCTCAGTAAATAAGTTTTATTAAAAAAATCTTTTTTTGCTCACTCTACCTATTTCGTTTGAATTGACAGCTATGACGTCACAATATGGTGCCCAATCGGTCCTATTCTTAGTTGAATCGCATTATAAATCATTTTTTTATACATTAATATTTAAATTGCATGTCCTATAGTAATATTTCATTTAATGTAAATATTATTTTATGAAGGAAATTAATTTTATTAAAAGGCTTAATTCGATGATTTCCGTAGCCGAGTGGTTTGTACGCCGGGTTTCATGGGCAGATGTTTGTGTGATGAATACGAGCATTTGCACTCCAGTAATCGATGTTTAATATTTTATTTATATATAAATATACTTATATATGCATCAGTACAGGTATTCTATCCGCTACCCTAGTATTTCATATCACAAACCTACAGTACCTTTGGGGCTAGGCTAATCGGTGCGAGTGTTGGAAATATTTATTTATTTCATTAATATTATACAAAGAAGAGGAGCTCGATGACGCAGGCGGTTAGAACATTCGGCCTGCGATCGTGAAATGGTCGATCATTTGATAGGGAAGGCCTGAGCCCCTGCAATTGATACATAATAAATTGACGTGGGATCACGATGAAACTAAGATTGACATACAATTTTATTTTATTCCACACTTTTTTTTACGTTAACTTAGAAGTCAGATTTTTTTCACAGCTTTAAGAGACCGTAGACCTGAGTATATGGTTTAAGTTTCAGCTCGATACCTCCATGCGATCATGAGATAAAGGGTCTTGAAAGACAGACACATAAACTGCCGTATTTATTTTTCACGTTAACTTAGTACATTGATTTTTTCACAGCTTTGTGGAACCATAGGCCTGAGTATATAGTTTAAATTTCAATTCGGTACGACTATGCGTTCCTGAAATAAAGGGCCTTGACAGACAGATGGTCGGACGGACCGACGAACAGACAGATAACAAAATGGTTCTATAAGGGTCACTTTTTTAATTTTGAGACCCGGAACCCAAAAAAAGAAAATGATTGTGGTATAATTCCACGTTGTTCTCGATAATTAAAATCACATGAAGTGCAAGCAATAGCGTGTATGTATAGTCGTATTTATATATCTAACGGCAAAATTAGACGGTTCAAAAAAAGTGATTAGTTTTTTGCAATGATTTGTGACTGATGCACAGTAATATGCTTTGTTTGTATAGACGCATCACTTTTTCCGAAAGCTAATATTCCATTCCTTGTGGAATAGGGATAATGACTATTTTTTTTTTCTTCGTTTATCAGGTAGATTATCAAATAGTATTGGACACGTATTTTTTCTTTTTTCACATAATATAAACAATGCAGAGATATATTGATTTGAAAAGTCGCGTGACATCACGTTTGAGTACACTTATAAGTGAAAAATCACTCAAAAATGACGTCACGAGCCCCTACTCCCAAACTTTGACGCGCTATAACTTTGTCATTTTTTGGTTGATTGCCCAAAGAAAAAATACGTGTCCATTATTTTTTGATCATCTACTAAATAGAACATCGTTTACTGTAGTACCCCGTCATCACCCCTATTCCCGCGTGAGTAACATATGCGTAGAGTTACTTAATTAAAGAATTAATACCGAAACAGTAAAAGGGGTGAACTGTGAATAAGCTGTCGCTATTCAGACGTTTCACTTGTCGTTCATTGCCGATGAGTAATGGATGACAGATGCATGATCGTTGTTAGTAAAAGCAATCGGGAGCCGAAAGCTTTCATCGCCAACGCACATTCCGATGGACGTCAATTTAGACATTTAAATATCGGTTTTTCATCGATGAAGCATCGAAAATGAAAACAAAAACGAACCGTCTAATTTCAGCTTAAGTATCATCATCATCATTATTATTTATTTATCATCAGCCTATTAATGTCCCCACTGCTGGGGCACAGGCCTTTCCTATGGATGGAATAGGGAGATTGGGCCATGACCCACCACGCGGGCCCAGTGCGGATTGGCGGGTGCTAACGACTGCAGATGCAGCTGGGACCAACCGCTCAAAATGCCTTCCGAAGCACGGAGGAACCAGAGATATAAATATGATTTTATTTATTTTTAAGCATTTAACTGCTAGATGTTTAAATCTAAAGAAAAGTTTACTAGAAAAAAATCCACGCGGACCAGGCAGGGACGGGACTCGAACCCGCATCCTACGCAATCCGGGCGAACGCACTGACCATTATGCTACCACGGCCCTATTAGCCGCGTCGAAATTTTCCTAGCGTTAAGCTGCAAGGCAGCGTCATCTCTTCGCATTGTAGGTAACCCACAATGTCAAATGAATACTTTTTCAAGTATTAAACATTTGAAAGAAGAAATAGCAAATATAGTTATGATTTTATTTATTTTTAAGCATTTAACTGCTAGATGTTTAAATCTAAAGAAAAGTTTACTAGAAAAAAAGAAATATAAATTTTTGGTCACCCATCCAATGACCGACCACTGCGAAAATTGCTTGACTTCAAAGAGCCGAACGCGCTAATCACCTGCGCCTTCGAGCTCCTCCAATTTAAGTATGTATATAAAATGTATAAGGATATTCACCCCATCACCGGTTTCCCTTTGACGTGGGCGGAGCTTTTGTTCATCGCGAAGAATGCACTGTCTATTTCAGCCGACTTGTTCAACCAGCCCTGTAAGGAAATAAAATGTGTTGATAAAACGATTTTCATTTCAGGCACCACTTATTATACGATTAAATGGGAGCATGATAAAACATAAAAGAAGCAGGTGATCCAAGCGAGACTGCCTTGCTTTATCTATAACTAGCTGTGCCCTCGGTGTTACCCGCGGTTTATTAGGGATATTTTACCACAGTAAAACGTAGCCTATGTGTTCCAGGGTGTCAGCTAACTCCATACCAAATTTTATTAAAAACCGCTCCAGCCGTTTAGACGGGAAGAAGTAACAAACATACACACTCACACACAAAATCTATACCAATATTATAATTATAAAAAGGAAAGATTTGTATTTTTGTATGTTTGTAATGAATAAACTGAAAAACTACTGAAACGAATTAAAAAAATCTGAAGCCATTAAAGCTACATTACTTCTGAGTGACACAGGCTATATGTATTTCATCACGATAAAATATATTTCTATCGTGCGAAAACATAGCGTATCGCGAGTTCTTAATAAACATTTAAACTGAATCTTTAACAATCCTGTCTCTTTGCAAACATCAAAGTTTACGAAACAAACACGCCGCTTTCGATATTTCACTATCATCAAGTCGTTACATTTTATAATGCCCACAAATTGTTAACAGCCCACAAGAAAGATTTGTAAACATTTCTAAAACGGCGTATGAATAATGTCGTCACGTCTCATTTTTATACTCATAACACGGAATGGTCGGTGGGCATATCTGGGTCAATACAACATGTTTGCCGGTTGAACACAGCCGGATATCCACAAACCGCGCGAGTGTGAATCAACGCAACGGTTTCTACACACACGCTGCAATAGGCACTACAGAGTTGGACCAGATTTTGGTAAATTTAAATTCCATATGCTGCAATTGGTTTATTTTATGGGGTGTGACCCCCCCCCTCCCCCCTTTTTTTACGCAGGCAAAACCTCTATTTACAGACGTTGGCGCCCTTAAGGGGCACATCAACGAACGGACCTCACACCTAGCCTCTCGCAAGTCTCACGGGTGCGAAACGGAGAAGCCGTTAAGCAGTCCGCGCGGCTTACGAGCGCTCACGGCATACTATCCGCTCAAAAACCCTGCGATTGCTGTATTCTCATCGCTAAAGTTTATCCCGATTAGTGATGATGACGACACAAGAAAGTTATATTTTACAAAAAATTGAACAAAATATAAACTTCCTTGTTTATACTGTAACAAATGTAAAATAAATATCTCGGCCCAGCCAGTGTTCATCTATTTATCACGTTTTTTTTTAATATGAATTGCAATGTGTGAAGTTTGTAATGTCGAAAACAATACATTACGTCTCGAACGGTTTCGGGAACGATTCGAGCGGCTTTCGTATGAAAAATATCGCAATTATGAGAATAGCACTATTTCATTTTTACTCGAAATAAAAAAAATCGTTTTTTTTTTTGGAATTGGTGATTTACTCGAGTGCGTGAAAATTGCCGCCCTGGCTATAGAATTTGATACGAACGATAGATACATGTCTTCGCCTATACGTTTCCTATGGGTAAACGACATATCATGTCCTTCATCAGCTCACACAATAAAGCGTTGTTTTCTAACAATGTAGGCGGCTGCCGTCGCCACATCAGTACAAAGAGTTTAATTTAGATTTTAAATACATACGGAATGACTATAAATATTTTTGTTGGTGACAACATAATTTATATTCCGTTTTAAATAAAGTGTCTTTCGACATTGTTTGGTGTAGGTGAGTGTTATTTTACAAGACTATAACGTCAAACAACACCCAAGAATATATGGTTTATCTAAAAATATGAGAAACAATATAAAAAAAACCGTAGCCGCAAAAGAAAACCGGTCTTTGCTGTAATCAATGTCAATGATATAATAAAACCCTTTAGATTTTTATAAAATGTGTCTCTATGGCCATACTGAAATTAAGGAGACGGTTCTAGACGGTTGTATCGAGGTCAGTCTCATGCAGACTCCAAATTTTTATGAGATAGATAGCTTTCCAGGGCGGTTTCCGATGTTAGTCCTAATTATTGGATCATTATGCGTGTCTCGAAAAATTTCCTTTTACTCCAGCCAACCTAGGTTATTCGAAAAGAAAAGCAGCCATGGGAGACTCCTGCAGGATTCCGAAAGCGATGCTGGCGACTGGAGAAGTCGTGTCCGGTGGTCGCTCATACTCCTTCATTCCATGATTTCTTCTGTCTCTATACATCCTCTGCAACGGGGGCTATCTGTCACTCCTATTGAGTATAAGTGTTTCTTTAGGGGACAGTAACCAGTCAGGGTTCATACAATCTTGCGGAGTTTTTCCCTATTTAGTCTGGTAAGGGTGCGCAAGTCTCTTGTTTGCCGCCGGAACTGCGTTCTTTGTATGCCGAGATCCTTTACCTGTTTTCCACTCTGCCAAATGTGTTATCTGAGTTCTTTCACGCAGCCACGTATATTAATTTGGGCCTGCAGAATGGGCAGCAAGGATTCCGGACTATACACTTTTGTGTCTGCTCGTCTGCTGTGTCCTTTTGTCCTTTTATCCACTGCAGAGTTACTGTATTGGTTACTGTAATGGATTGTGGCACACCATCACCAGGACAGAGTTTATTGCGTTGCTACGTAGGGCTTGAAGCCCGTGCTTTGAAAATATCAACAACCTTAGACAAACTAAGCACAATCTTTTGGGCGTAATGTAATGCATCCGTTTGCAATTTCAGAAAGGAACTCAATATTAAAGTCTCTTATGTCCCTGGCTCCAACCGCCTGTGCCGCTCTAGTAATACCAATACATTACGCCTAAAAGATTGTGCTTAGTTTGTCTAAGGTTGTTGATATTTCTATATTCAAGTCGTTCGAGAAGACACTTTCGCTCCAGTACCACTGTTGGTTTTGGAGCCATCTGTATAGATCTTAACTTCCCCGGGGCCAGAGCAATCTACATTAGCGCGGTATTTTGGATGTCGTATCTTCTATCTAAGACGCATTGACCCAATATTCTGTCCATTGGTGCCTCCAGGAGTAGGATCTCCTTCATGCATGTTTGTAGAATAATCTAGTGTGTTGTAAGAAATTAATTGCAACATACTCGTTGCAATCAACCTCAACAGGTTCTGTATGTTCATAACATACTTCTTTTTTCATAAGAACCGACTCCACTCGTTGTTTTTCAGATTTTTATGACTTACCATTTAATAAATAAGTTTTACGACTCCAATTTTCGCTCTTTTATTCACTCCACAAACAAAAAAAAATCAAAAAATGTTCTTCAAACGAAAGATGACATGATATTTATGACATTTTCGAATGACGACTTAAATGGGTTGCCAGATAAAGTGTTTCTGGTGTGACCGACTCTGCAAAGTTATCGTGGTTCGACTTTAACGTCAGCATCGGATATCATCAGCCTATTAATGTCCCCACTGCTGGGGCACAGGCCTTCCCTATGGATAGAATAGGGAGATTGGGCCATGACCCACCACGCGGGCCCAGTGCCGGTTGGTGGGCGGATAATCCATTACTAAGGTCGGTGCCCCAGCAATAAGGATATTAAGAAACTGATGATTATGATCAAATTATGTATATGCTCACTTCCACCATCTTAGCCTCACGTGGGCTGTGGGCTTCCGTTTCCTGATCCCTTTCTGCTCAATCATATTGTCTAAAGATTGTAAAGGCGTTGGTCGCGGCTGAATCATATGAAATGTTTTTTATACTCAATTCTAGCTTCGCGTGGAGTGTGCCTCTGTTTCACTGCCCTTTTGTCTTCAATCATATGGTCTAAAGGTTGGGGTTCGAATTCGGCGGGTAACTCCGCCCATCGTAGCCGGCTGCCTGTTAGTAGAATTCTATAGTAATAAACTTATGTTTAAACTCATATCTACCATCCTAGTCTCGCGTAAAGTGGTTACCCCACTTTGGTGGCGTACGCCGACGACGTCACGATCCTGATTGAATCCGGATCCCGGGCGAGCATAGAGGCCACGGCCTCTACGGTTCTACAGCTCGTCAGTGAGTGGGGGGCCCGTAATAGACTGGACTTTTCTCCTGCAAAGTCTGCAACTATGACGATCAGGGGAAAATTCCAGCGGCCACCCACCATCCGCTTCGGGGGGACTTCCATCAGGAGCGTGACGTCGGCCACTGTGTTGGGTGTGGCGGTCGACTCGAGTCTCTCGTTCGCGCAGCATGCGGCGTCGATAGGGGAGAGGGCGGCAAATTGCTTCGGCAAAATGTCGAGAGTATCGGCGGCTTCTTGGGGAGTTCGGTACAAGGCCTTAAAGGTTTTGTACCGCGGCACTTACATCGCCACGGTGACGTATGCTGCAGCATGTTGGTACGAGCGCGCGTCCCTTCACGTTGTGCGTAGTGCGCTTTTGCGCACCCAGAGACCCGCCTTGATCTTTCTGACCAAGGCGTACCGGTCGACGAGCTCTGTCGCTTTGCCGGTCTTGGCTGGTGTCTTACCGGCCGACCTCGAGGTAACTCGGGCAGGCAGACTAGGTGATGCACGCGAGTCCGCGGTCACCATTGAGGGGCTTCGGATCGCCAAACTCAGGATCACTGAGTCCGTCAATGCTGAATGGCAGAGACGTTGGGACACGTCGGAACAGGGGAGGGAACTATATCGGTTCTTCCCGGAAGTGGAGGCCCGACTCAAGTATACTTGGGTCGAGCCTGACTACGAAACCTCGCAACTGCTGACGGGACACGGCTGTTTCAGGGGTAGGCTTCACAGAATGAAGCTCGCGGAGGTGGGGTCGTGCTACTGTGGGGAGGGAGTAGTAGAGGACGCACACCACGCTCTGTGGGAGTGTAAGCTCTTCGTGGAGGCGCGTAGGGAACTTCTTAACAGTGTGAAGGTGCTCGAGGTTGGGCCGGTCTACTATTGTGACCTTGTAGGATCGGAGGCGAACTTCAGGCAGCTACGGGACTTCGCGCGTAGATGGCACAGGATTCGGAGTGGACTCGAGGGAGGTGAAGAAAGAAAACAGGGAGCAATACTGGAGGAATAGTAAATGGAGGCTAGCGGTACCACTGCATAGTGGGCACGGGGCGGCTGGGATGGCGACGAAGGCGTTTCGTGTTCGTCCGCCCCAGAAAGGGGAGAGGGACTCTAGGGACAAGGACATAGATAAAGAATAATTTGTAGGGAGTCAAGAAGTACGCGCGGTGGAGGCCATTCCGCGCGTATCTCCCGCTGCTTCGGCCTGCATAACCAAGAAGGTTCGCCAGGCCATGGGTGGTTGGTGGGGTTCGTCTGTCCTTTTCTTCTCGATCATATGGTATGAGGGTTGTAGTTCGAAGCCACCCAATAACCGCGTCCTTCAGTATTAGTATCCTATAGTAATGAAGTAATGTTTATACTCACTTCTACCATCCTAGCCTCGCGTGAAATGGACTTACGTTTCTCTGTTCTTTTCTCTTCAATCATATGGACTAAAGATTGTTGTAGTAATTCCACTCACTGGCCGCGTCCTTTATTAGTTTCCTATAGCGATGAAATGATGTTTATACTTACTTCTACCATCCTAGCCTCGCGTGGAGTGGGCTTCCGTTTCTCTGTCCTTTTCTCTTCAATCATATGGTCTAAAGGTTGAGGTTCAAATCCGGGGGGTAACTCCGCCCATCGTAGTCGGCCACTAGCCGCGTCCTTTAGTAGTAACCGAGCTGAACGCGACTGATCCGGCTGGCCGGCTGCCGTCATGAAGCCCCGGTTGTCTATATACACAACAATATTAATATATTGTTTTAAGTTCTCATGGTCACTAACATTATAGTAGGTAATATAAGTTTTTAACGGGATTGTTACCATGCACCTTGTTTTTAGCGAGTTTCCGATATTTCAGCACTGTTGCAAGCGCCATGATCACGGAGTAACTGGCGTAATTGCGGGTAGGCTGATATTGGCATACATATCGGTCTACACTCCGACGAAGCCTTTTATTGCGTTCGTGCCGAAATATCGAAACTCGCTAAAAAAAGGTACATGGTAATAATCCCATTGATAGCTTATATTACTACATACAGTTAAACCCGTTTAAGACGATTTCACAGGAACTCAACCAAAAACGCGTCTTAAGCGGGAAAGCGTTTTATTATGCGGGATTGCGTGATAGGGAAATTTCGAATGTAGGTATTGAGGTATTAAATGTACAATATTTAAAAATTATGTATGTTATAAAAATTTTAGTGTATTATATATTATTACGTTATTTAAATTTATCACTTATTTTACTTTGTCAAAAAGATTTTGAGGCATTAGCAATTACAAGATTTTCATCATAATTTAACTTTTACAGTGCGTCTTCGCTTTGATTCAAAGACGTTAAATATAACGTCTTAAATCATTCACTGCTGTTAATGCCTAGGCGTGTGACAAAATCGGAGTTGACTCATCTTCTTCTTGACCATTATCACTTAGGGCCTCTTCTTGTGTGTTATTCACATTCTCAATAAGATCTTCAATTGTTTACATTTCGTACGGTGCCAAATTGTCATCAATGGAAAAATATCCAGGAAAATCCTTGGGATTGTTTAGCGTGCATCGCATGACAGTAGTCACGTCAATGGCTGGCCGCTGCCGTAAGAGGTAATATATCTAGTACCCAATGGCGATTTAGGCGTATTGAACGGGATGACGAATCGTATTAAGCGTTAAGCAATGTATCAAAACAAGTCTCAAGTTGCAGGGAATGACGTAAAATGGCGTATTATGCGAGAAATCGTATTAAGCGTGATCGTATTAAACGGGTTCTACTGTAATATTAAATTCATATAGTATGATTCAAGCCTGTGTAAAACCAAATGCAGGACAGCGCGTAATAACTAAAGACGTTGTTATATAAGGTAGAGTGCGAGCAAGACCATGTGGCAGTTTTATGTCATTGACAGGAGAGCGCTGATGGTGAACAAGAGGTAAAATGAGGATTACAAAGTCCGTAAAATCTACTCTTCAAAGGGAACGTTATAATTTACAATATGCCGGAAAGGGTTAAAGAAAATGCCTTTTATATCTAAAAGGCTTATTTATAGCTTTCTAAAATTAGTTTCCCAACCTTGAAGATCGTGGTCACACTGTATATGAAATTCTATGGTAGGTGTCACACTGACTGTGTGACTGTTGTGCCACGCGGAGACAAATGACGACATGCGAGCTGGCAACGTCGCGCATGCTCTGCGTTGCATTGTTAGACAGAAAACATACAATGAATAGAGAACTATTTAAATGTAGTGTAACAATGGGCGGCCTTATCGCTAAAAGAGATCTCTTCCAGACAACTTTTGGATGGCGAGGATTAGAAGGAGTGGGAGAGACGGCGGTGCAAATCTCAAGTGTAATCTTAATATATATAAATCTCGTGTCACAATGTTTGTCCTCAATGGACTCCTAAACCACTGAACCGATTATAATAAAATTCGCACACCATGTGCAGTTCGATCCAACTTGAGAGATAGGATAGTTTAAATCTCAAATTATAGTCGCAATTTTAATTTATTGCAAATTATTACTTTTGGGCGGTACGAAGTTCGCCGAGTCAGCTAGTTTATTAATATATAAAGCGGTGAGTATCTGCTTATAGAGTTAGTAAATCAAACCAAACAAAATAGGACAGTAACGAAAGCCTTTATGTGGTTTTTACCGCCCTATGATAAATACGCCCATTTGTCAATTCCCATTCTTCCTATACCATCCAAAGGTAATGGTGTTTGTATGTTTAAAGGATAGACCTACAGTTCGTAGATCTATTAAAATTGTGAATTCATTCGTACTTACAAGCGTGAGCGGTGAGTATTTGCTTGTAGTCAATGTTGCCGTCTTCACTTTGCGGCAACAATAGGCCGTACTTCTGTTCGAAGGTGTGCCGGCTTACCAACTGGCAGAGGCGTGCCATAGCCGAGTCGTGGGAACGCATCTGATGAACAAACATAATACTAACTGTTATAGTAATTTAATATATATTCCTCTATAGAGGGTATAGGAGCTCGATGGCGCAAGTGGTTAGCGCATTCGGCTGCGATCGTTGAAGTTAAGCAACTTTCGCAGTGGTCGGTCATTGGATGGGTGACCAAAATTTACTATATCGAGCTCCTACGTGCTTCGGAAGACACGTTAAGCCGTTGGTCCCGGCTGCAACTGCAGTCGTTAGCACCCACCAATTATCTCTGGGCCCGCGTGGTGGGTCATGGCCCAATCTCCCTATTCCATCGATAGGGAAAGCCTGTACCCCAGCAGTGGGGACATTAATAGGCTGATGATGATGATGATATATATTCCTTAGCTTCCGGTCGAAACTTCGTCCCCGTTAGGTTATGTACACCTTTTTTTTTCTTTTAACTTATAAAAACTTTAACAACAAAAAATAAAAACTTCATAAAAACAAAACCACCTAAAGTAAGAAGTAATACATATACTTTAATTATATCTACATTTAAAGTCAAATAAACATTTGGAGTCGGTGCCATGCATATTAATAGATCTGAGCTGCCATTTACTGCTAGGGTTGGCATGGCACCGAGATGCATATAAGAAAAAAACCTCAAACCGTAACCTATTGGGTTGAGTTGTGAGTTAAATTTTCTAATGTTATGTTGAAATGAAAATGAACTTTATTCAATTTAACTTTAAAAAGCTCTTTTGAATCGTCTTTAATATTTTTTTTCCTACCAGCTTCTGTCACCATGGTGTAAACATAGCTATTATAGGTTTTCTAGGTGGAGAGTACCTTCCCTCCCCGAGGTTTGCCAGCACTAAAAGTAAGTAAGTTGGTTGTGGTTGAGAGGGAAAACTTCCAAGTATGCTGGTTGTTACATAATAACTGTACTTTGTATATTCCATTGTGTGTAGGGTTACCACCCATCCGGATTTGTCCAGACACGTCCGGACTTTGTCCGGTTTTTTAATTTGTCCGGATTTTTTTAATTAGATGGAATGTGTGTAAAAAACTACTTATTTTAAGCTATATCAAATAATTCAAATAATATTTATTAAGTTCTCATTAATTTAAAACAAAATATATATTATCTTTAAAAATCAACGAGACCCCCTTCGCAATGCGAGCGTCTGATACCATGCGTATAATATCACTGTAACTAAGTGGATGATGTTTGCATTTTGTGACTAAAATGTCCGGACTTTTATTAAAATGTCCAGCATTTTGCCAGGACTTTTAAATTTTTTAAATAGTAACCCAAATTGTGTGTTCACCTTCGCACGTTTATTCTACGGTGCAGTGATAATATAAGTTAAGCAAATTTCGCAATGGCTGATCGTCTTCATGAGTAATGAATATGAGCTCCTCCATGCTTAAAATAACATGAAGCTATCCCGGGCTGTAACTGGAGTCATTACCACTCACCAATTAAAATTCAAATACATAGTGGGTGGCATTCTGCTCTCTTTATACAATACTGTCCATAGGGATAACATAAGTCAGCCGTAGAAACATTGATAAACTGATAAATACGGACGATGATTTATGTTCATACCTGATCAATGGATAAAACAGCTGTCAGCATAAGGTCTGGAGCGACTGCATAAGCTGGAAGCACCAACCCTGGGCAATCCAGTAATTCGACTTCATCGTCCAACACTAGCGATTGAATGTGACGAGTATGGCCCGGCATAGCACTTACGCTCACCTGTGGGATACAAACAATTCTATACTATTAATAATATAATATAATAAAATAATTTTTTCACACTACTTCTGCATTTAATATCTAGATACTAAATCTAGATATTAAATGCAGAATTTGTGTGGAAAAATTTACTCAGCTTTAAAATGTAGTTTCTGGATATCGTCATATTATTTATTAATTCTTGTCAGTTTCATAGTAGAAACGGAACTTATGGCGTATTTACATTTGGTCAGTAGCCCGAAGATGATTGCCTATGGAATTCGAAAAAACGACTAAGTGTAAATGAACGGAGTCGAGTTATCCCGTATACGGACAGTTTTGGTTTTGGTTACCATCAGCCATCTTCTATCCTGTGTTCGATTAGAAAAAAATGTAAATATTGCATAGGGTGCCCGAATTCGAGTAATGTTCGTGCACCTGAATACGGGATAACGACCAAGTGTAAACGCGCCTTTTAATTTAATACATATAGGAAAATATTTTTTTAACAAAAAAAATTATTAAATCAAAATATTTGACTCAAATAGATATAATATGAAATATTTCTAGTAAAATTATACTCACTCACTTGTTATATCTTAAAATAAACTATCTGGATAAAAAATATGAATATTACTCATAAAGTAATATTAAACAGTATTGATCTTTATTTTATATTTTTTTATCCTCACTTATATTTACCTTTTTTGTTTGCATTATAACATTAACTGTGCTGGATTTTCCAACATTAGGATAACCTATCATTCCAACGGATAATCTAGGTGGGTTTTTCAAATTGTCAATTTTCTGTTTCTTAAGCATTTCAAGCAACATATTTCTGTCAAATATTTCATGAGAATTCATCACAGTTTCATTGGAAACTTCTTTTGGATTTTCAGGTACTTCTTCTGTGTTTGGATAAGGATCCACAGGTTTTCCCAATCTTAAATTTTCTACTACTTTGTCCAATAACTCCTGTATCTTATCTAATTTGTCTGCAGTACATTCTACCGCTTTATCAAGATCCCCTAATTGCTTTTTAAACAATTCTATGTCTTCTTCTGTACTTTTTATAGCTTCTTCTTCTAAATCACTTGCAGTTATATCATCTAATGATTCTGCGGTTTCTGTTTCAGAATTAAGGTCAAAATCATTCTGTCTTTTAGAATCACTGCTTGCTTCAGATATTTTTCGTTCATTTGTTTGTTTAGCAGCTGAGAAAAAGACAATAGGGACATTCTGCAAAATAGATATTTTGAATGATTAATTTTATAATAGTACCTATGTAAGATAAAATATATTATCAATCATACCTTCAAAAAACCTACAACATACCTCTTCAGTGAAATATTCTGCCCAACATTTCCTTTCATACTCATTGGTCAGATCTGCTTTGTTCAGTAGCAATATACACTTGCATTTCTGTTCTACAGCATACTTTTCTAAGTCTTGACACCTACAAATATTAATTTTGATAATTAAAGAAAACCACACTTTGTAATCAGCCATTTTCCTGAGCTGAGAGAGAATAGCTTTGACTAAAATACATCGGTTGAATAGTGCTGTTAGTGACAAACTAGTTATATTCTTAAATAGTTATGTACAACTAAAAACTTTTACATAAACTAGCAGACTGAAAAAATAAGTCCTACTTTTTCTGATATGGTCAAAAATTCAAACACACAGTATACCAAGTATATAAAATATGAAAAAAGGTGCAAATATGTCTATTATGAAATTACTACTTATCCATTGACTATGTTAGTATTTTTGTTAAAATTTGCTAAATTTTTTTCAAGTTGTCCCAAATAAATGTGATGTTGATCTGATGAGTATCTAATTTTAGACATAAAGAAATGGAAAAAATATACCTGAATAGAAGTGGATTTCTGGCATCCAATAAGATTAAAACAATGTCTGCCTTCTCCAAAGTCCTCCAAAGTTGTTTCCAGAACTCTAAATTCCTTTCATATGGTGTTAATGCTGCCCCAAGCTTTGCTTGAAGTTCGTTTAGGTGTCTTCTCCAATCCAGGAATGATTCACGTTCCCTCTCCTGTTGCTCTTCTGCCGTTATCCCTGGCTTCCAAGGAGGTCTGCAAGACAAAAAAGTTTATTTTTTATTAACATTAACAATGTTAATTACCAAATCAATAAAGAAAAAGAAGCAAAACTATAAAGAAAAAGAAGTGTTGTTGTATACCCACAAAGATTATTAAATAGTTAATTTTTCTAACCTTCTAGGAACAGTCAATGGTTCATCAAAATTGGGCTGTGACGTCACTATTTCCACAGCATCAGGGATTGATTTCACATATTTCAAATTCATCTTCTCTGCTGTAAATTCCCGCTGTGCCAACTCAGCTGTCGATAGAAACTCTTGCAAGGAAGACTCTGCTGTCACTGATTGGAGGTTTAGGCGACCCCAGTCATAGCCATCATTAACTTCAGTAGTATGGAGCTACAACATAAAGCAAAATTTAATGAAAAAGCAACTGGTGTAATAATGTAGTAATGAAGTAGTTGGTTACATTATTATATTAAATTATAGCAATATCCGCAAATACGAACCAATAACTAAGTATATACCTACTCAATACAAAAACTAAATTTTGCTGTTATTCAAAAGGGTCACACACACTGTTACATACCTATGTAAATATTTTGATAGATGCTATTATTTTAACTTAATAAAATATCTATTAAATTAATGCACTATATATATACATTATATTTACATACCATGGTGTTGTCTTCAACATGTTTTCGGTGACGATTTTTAGAAAATCTATCTTTGATAAGAGCTCGTCCAAGGGAATCTTTATTCTTTTTACCCATTTTTGTAAACGGAGAAATTAGTGTAATAATTTTATGTAATTTTTTTCTATCGCTATTTGTTCAACATGCGGTCACAATAATTTTTACAAACAAAGATGACCGAATGACGTCTGTCATAAACACATGTTTACAGTGTGACCAGAATAAATTACGAAAATACCGAAGCACCACAAAAAGACAGTTTTTTTTTTATTTTATGACCTGGTAACATAGAAAAAAGTACTGAAATATACAGTTTGGGTACGGCCAGAGTGCACTCAGATTCAGATTCAGACTCAGAAAACAAGCGCGAGAAATATACAGTGTAGTTTAAGCAGGTTGCCTGCTGCCACTATGGCCACCCTGCTTAAACTACACTGAATCTGAGTGCACTCTGGCCGAACCCGTAGTCTATAAAGTCGTGACATGAATGTTTGAGGAACTAACATTATTCATGTGTTTGGCAACACCAAACTTATGTACATCAGCTGTCATCGAGTTTCAGTTGTGGAACAGTTTTCCTTTTGTATTTTTTATTGTTTGAATAAAACTGTAACAAATTAAGACGAAACTACGCAGAAAGGTATAAAAATGAGTAAAGTGAATAGGAGTGGCGCGGGAAGTGATTTTTAAAGTTTTCCAGCGATATTTCGAAGACTACCAAGCTGGACGAATTTTGTGGGATTTGGATGATGTTTATGGGCGAACATTCTCTAAACTTAAAACTAAATTTAACATCAGTCTCTCCTTTTCATTCTGTATAGAGAATGACAAGGATATACTGCTGTCAAATTTAAGTTTAGGTTTAGAGAATCATGTTAGAATCGATACTAGTGTAAACACCTATTCTAGTGCAACATAAAAAAATACCTAAATTAAATATAATTAAACTATAATAATAAGTAATTTATATCCAAACAATTAAATATAAAATAAAAATTACTACCAATTAGCCTAGCCCCAAAGTAAGCACTATAGGCTTGTGTTATATTATACTAGGGTAACGCATAGAATACATAAACTGATACAAATATATTGAAATAGAATTTTTGAAAAAAACATTACGATACGCGTGACCTAAGTTGCCTATTACTCGCTCCGCTCGGGCGCTAACTTCACGCCGTGCAATAATAGACAACTTAGGCCACAAGAATCGTATACAATTTTATAGCAAGTGTGATATAAACCCGCCCCGGACGCGGGCAAGAGGGGGGGTTCGGGGGATGCGATTAGTGTTTTGAAAGTAAAATTCATGTATTGCAATCACAAAGAATTGCAATACAGACTGCAAGTCAAACTCTGAAAAGAAAGAATTCCGGTTCAGATTACCATTTTGAAAGTATATTTCAAAAGGAAAAAATCAAATATCATTACAACAAAATAACCTAACCTATCGCTAATTTGTCATTTGTTTGCTGTGAGTTTTTAAGCTCCAAATGACATTTAAATGTGTTTCCTTTTATTTTTTCTACATGAGTGAAGTTGGTCAATTCATTTACACAGGTCACACTGTGCTATAAATACATATTAAACCTCCATGACTGGAGTACAAATGCTCGTATTCATCACACAATCATCTGTCCCCATCGGGATTCGAATCCAGGATCTCTCAAGTAGGTGATACCTTGAGTCTTTGCGTTCAAAGAATAAGCCAACAGAACTGCAGAACTGAAAATCATTTCACTTAAATCGTCTTAGCTCTTAGATGATTTTTCTGTCATTTTCTATTTGTAACTTGCTGACCACTAATCCTAAATGAATTAATAAAGACTTAATACGGGAAATCAGAACATTATAGTTACGGTGTTACCATAACTTTTTATCCAAAAACCCGATAATACTGACCTCCGCCAATAAACCTACATAAATACTGACACTCTGAGAAGTTGATAAAATATCCCGAAAAAGTATTAAAACGCTGAATCTGGTCACACTGCATTTTAACCAAGTGTCAATGTCAATGTCATTTTTATATCACTGTTATTTTTAATTGGAAGGCAAAAGATATAATATTCTTACAGCCTTATAATTTATTTCTTATAATGCGTGTTTACCATTTCATTAAAAATGAAGGTTTTTGTTGTGCTTTAGGAAACATATTTATTTATTTAGCGTGAATGCTAATTTATATGGCTTGAGTATTCTTATACCAATTTTTCTTGAGTCAAATGTAAAACAAAGGAAAACTAAAGAATAGGCTGTATGGATTTATGATTCTTTAGCTACCCAATAGAAAAATTATAATTAAAAGTCAATCTTCGATTTTTTGTATGCATGCAGTAAAAATAATTATAAAATTTACTAGATTCTTATTATTTTAGCATTTCTGTGGGTTTTCAAAACCCATTTATATCCAAAGAGTTAAAGGAACCCCAGTTTCAGTGATGATGTCCGAGTATTACGATCATTACCATCGCTGGGAACCACTTGCAGAGTTTCATTTTCAAATTGGTGATGAAGATGATGATTATGGCGAAGAAAACTATGTTTACTGTTTATGTAGCCGAGCTTTCATCAAGTAAGTCAAAACCCTATTATGTGTAAAGAGAAATCACTTTGTTGAACAAGTTGAATAAAGGTACTGAGCACTTGTTATTGTCTTTTCACAGAGATGGTGTTAAAACTTATTATGTTGAAAAGGAAGAAGGTAGTGAAAGTGATGTGGAAGTTACGCGTGACTCTCATTCACAGCATTGGGATGAACACTCCCATGTGCATTTTTCATTGGATACCTCATACAAAGTTAAATGTGAAGTAAGTTTATATATTTGCATGGTATTTTTTTAAAAACAAATGTCTTTTGAGCTATAACTCAAGAAAATTTTCTTTTATTTATTCAGTTTTATTTGTCATGATTTGATATTACAGATTTATTTCTAATTCCATGGTTCCTTCGCAAGATACCAATTTGAGAATAATACTATGTAAGAATGTTTCATTTATTAATAGTACATTTTATTATAAATATAATTGATTTTAAGCCCACAATTGTAAAATAACCATCAAAAATTTGTTTTTTTTTATTTAAAAAAAAAGCTGCTAGGATTATCTCTAAAAAAATTTACCAGAAAAAAAAATCTGCAAAGGTATCAAGCTGGATACCATATGGCCACCCTGATACCTGGACCTGAAATTAAATATTTTGTTATGTAATGAAGATATCATACTTTTAAGCTTTATCTTTTCACAGAAAGATGAAGGTGCTAGTTGCTATTGTAGTGCCTCACACACAGACAACTACTGCTCTACAGATGAACACGACCCGGCACAAGTCCAAGGCATGATCTCTCATGCTTTACAACCCAGCGATAGTGGAGCAGACCTTACATACCCAGAAAGCCATTCAGACTACACAACAAACTCTCATGATATCCTTGAGAAAATGGAACAAGATCTTCCAAATATAGATACAAAAGTAAGTGATGAAAATTATCTATCAGAAAATACATTTGAAAAATTCTGGGCTGTTAATGGAGAAAGACTTATATGGGCCTCATGGATTAAGAATTACAGTGATTACATAAACCCTTCCTATCTGGACCAAAATAATGATCTGCTGATGGATGACAATAACATTCCCAAACAAAGATCTGCCGATCAGATTTATCAAGATCAACAAGTTGAGGTAAATAAAAAAACTGATGAAGATGATGGCATAAGAGAGAGGAAGTTTTCATATGATTCAAAAGTCAATCCATACAAGAAAAATAAAGCTCATCCAAACCCTGTTGATAAAGTTGAAGAAACAGAGCCCCGCAACAGGGATGACCCATGGTTACCGCTAGCTCGCAAAAGATCTTGTTCTGAACATGACAGAATATTGAGTCCTAGAACTGTGACAGGGACTGATTCAATGACCAATGTGACCAAAATAACTATTTCAAGTTATGATGTTTCCTCTAGCCATGTAACATCAGAATCTTCACCAACTGAAGATTACAGTATGTCTTCCACTACATCTGATGACCAATCTAATGATCAAACAAGAATAGCTAATGTTGATGAAATCTTGGAACAACCACCATCTGAAGAATTAGATACAGATCAGTATTGGCAATTCCTTTGGAAGAAACATTTTGGAGAACAATATGCCTTACATTATGCCAATTATCTTGAGAGCCATGAAGAGAAACCCAAAGAGGATGAAAATAAACAGGTAGAAGCAGTAGTAAACATTCCAGATGTTCCTAATAATGTTGATAAACCAGAAGAAAAAGTAGAAGTAGATCATGAGAATAGTGAAGGAAATTCACAAGAAACACCAACAATTATAGAAGTGCTAACTCAAGTTAACAATATAAAACTAGAAGAGAAAAATAAACCTAAAAGAAGAATTAAGAAAAATACTAATAGAATTATAGGTTCAGTGGGTATGTTGTTACAAAGTTTGCTTAAAGATGAGCAAAAATTGAAAGAACTCTGTGAATTGAATGAGGTGAATGAAGCAGCAGAAGCTGTAGAGGGTAGTACCAAAACAGTAACAGATGTACAGAAACCTGATACAGTTGATGGAGCATCAACAACTGCAAGTACTCAGCAGTCTATAAGCAATACTAACCTGCCTTCTTATAAGTATGATGATGGCGATGATGATCCACCTGAAGATAAACCAGTTATGATGAAAAAAGGGTAAGTTTAATTGCCAATGTAGATAAAAAATTACTTTATATCCTTAAACAAAAACTTTATTTTGAATAAATGAAGATTTTTTGTAAATAGCAGGAATCAAAAATATGTCCTTAAACATTTTTTCATGAACATAAAACTATTAGAAAATCAAAGTAAAGGTATTAGCATAGCTGGGCACCGATAATCAAATAGTTAACTTTGTTAAATGTTACATTTCGGAAAATTTAACTCAAGTTAACGTTAATCGTTAATCCGTTAACATATGATAAAAATTGCATTTTTAATATCGTAGCATTAGTGATCTGCTTACAAAAACTGAGTTCTGGGAGTTAATTCAGGTTAGGTTAAAAAAAAAACAGTGTATTAATATGTAAAAAATAAAAGTGTATAATTTAACTATCTGGCACAATGTGGATATTCCCCTTCCTGAACATTAGTATGTTGAAGTTTTCGTCTGAGAGTGAGGCTATCATCATTAATACTGGACGAATGAGCAATTTTTCTTTTTGGCTTACCCCGGTTAGATCCCGCCTTAACAATCTCTTCAAATAGCAAGTATTGAGACTCATGCACTCTTCTTTTATGCTGATTCACATTGTTTAGGCTCGATATATGGACTTTTATTTTTGTTTCTTTTGGTAAGCATTTTACGCACTCAAAAAGTATCTGCACTCCCGATCTAGTTACAAACCTAATAAGTAGAGATCCGTGTCCAATCAAATGTGGCCACGGATTTTTGTCCGTAGAGGAACTGGACGAATCCATGATACTTATGGTTTTAATTTACACAGTAAGTACTTACACTCTTTCCTTACACTCACACGCTGCACAGAAGCAAATAATCAAGGATGGTGCACAAAATCCAAAAATTACGTTGTATTTGTGTACTTCACTAAAAACAACCAAAACACTCGTCACTCGTAAGCGTCTCGCTAGTAATGAATTGCAAAGATCACACGCGCCGCCAATACATGCCTACATAGTTTCAGCTCGCGTCGGCGCCGCTCTGCACTTGTCGTTGTTTGTCGGCCCGCCCGAATGTACTAATTGTCAGAACGCGTTTTTCGCGACACGGCGAGGTGCCTGCGGTATATTTTTTGGTAAATAGTAGGTACAATATTAACGATTAACGGACTTAGGATAATTAAACGGAAGTTAACGAGTCCGTTAACATTTTTTAAAGTTAACTTAAAAGTTAATCCGTTAATAGAAATGTTATTTTCGTTAATTATCGGATTTACGAGTTGATGCCCAGTTATGGGTATTAGCATTTTTGTCCAATAACAACTTTTTTTGGTGATATTCTATACATGTAATGCAACCAGGACAATGTTTCTCGTCCTAGCAGGGAATCTAATGTTATATTACCTTCCAGCCATGAAGTTGACGAAGAAGAGGCTGCAGCAGAAGAAGTGACCAACACTTTTGATTTAATGGGCTTCTGTGTTAATGCAGCTAATATGCCGAAAGGTCGACTCATATATAAAAAGCGTGTAGCAAGATTACGACCGCGACACAAGAGATTTGTTGCTCCTAGAAAAACATACTTTGATGATGAAGGCAATCCTTGTCAGGTAGTAATAATATATTATAATACAATATCAGTTTCAAATTGGTGTAAAATGGTTCTTTATCTCACACACAGATAAATTTAACTAATGTTTACAACAATAATGTGCTAACCCAACATTGTAGAAAACATTTTTTGTGAATATGTGATCTACCTAGATATTGAGAAGGATATTCTAATTCAATTGTTGTATTAACACGTCAATTCAAATAAAAACCAAAATCTAGCATATAAATCTATGTTGGTTGACATGTTTCTTTCTTATTTTTTCATGATCAACAAACACTTTTGAACAGGTATAAACTTTATACAAAATCAAAGAACATTGTCGCTCCCAAAACATTTTGATAAGATATCACTTTATTTTTATATTTCAGGTACAAGAATCACATGACGAAAGGGAAATGCAAACTGATGATGAAGGCCCCGAAATCAAGTCTGATAATGAAAAACCTACAGACATTCCGAATGTTGACAGCATAGAAAGTACAAATATTGACACTGTTAAAACGAAAGATAATACTGAGTCTGAAGATAGTAAATTAACCAACGAAGCAGCAGCAGTGCCTTTGCCTTCTGATATGAGCGGATCATTCAGTAGTGCCCCTGAAAACAGTGATGAACATAAAGGTAATAATAAATTTAAATTTTCAGAAAAGGCAATGAATTGTCATAATGAACCAGACCAGACAATGTAACTTAAACATAGTGTAGAAAACTTCAGAAAAATAATGTTAAGTTTTTTTGGCTTTATCCTTAATAATATTCTACTTCTATTCTTTGTTGTCATAACAGCAAATGAATTGTGCAGAAAGCCACACATCGACTTACCACAAACTCTCAATAGCTTATGAATCTTATATCAAAGTGTTTAAAGCTCATAATCGGTTGAAGAAATTTGACAGTTTTGGGTAATCTGACCTGTGGCTAAATAAATAAATTGTAAAACCTATTACGGTTCAAGAGATACAGACTACTGACTGTCTTATCTTCAGTTTAGAACTCTAACGAAAGCAGTAGACTTTCATATTTCTACCTCCATTGTGAAATCCATTAAATTTTAATGTCTTTGTTACATTGTTCTTTTTTTATACATATTTTCTACTTCCATTGTTTCGACTCTTATGAACATTATTTTTGTATTTAGGAATCCAAGTAGAGTCAAAGCGAAGAAGACGTCAGAAAAGACATTCTCGAGCTACAATCGACGACTCGGAAATACCCGCAGAACTCAGAGAAACACCGAAAATGCTCAAATACTGGAAGAAACGGCATTCGTTATTTCACAGGTAAGAGAAAACTTAGCGAATTCACAGCAAATTTAGTCCCAAAACTAAGCAGTATAGTCTATAAGTATAGTAAAACTAGAGTACCAACCGAACACCTAGAGGCCGGATACCGGACACCATTCTGCGTCGCACGTCGCCGTCAATACGTGTTCAATAAGTTTATAACTATGTTTTATATCTGTATATATGTTACACTTTAAGGTATGTATCTATGGGCCTACGTTGCCTGACTGTAAATTAATAAATAAAATAAATAATTACCCAGGTTCGACGAAAGCAAAAAGCTGGAGCTAGAGAGTTCGTTCAGCGTGACTCCAGAAAGCGTAGAATGGCATATTGCCAACAATAGCTTACGATGTAGTCAGAGACTCAATTCGAGTATAAAATAAATAACCTTTATTTCCTTTCTCAAAACTTAAATAAGTAACTACCCAGGTTCGACGAAGGCATAAATCTGGATCTAGTTAGTTGGTTCAGCGTGACTCCAGAAAGCGTAGCATAGCGTATCGCCAATCAAGTTTAAAATAAAAATCCTTTATTTCCTCTCTTAAAACTTAAATAAGTAACTACCCAGGTTCGACGAAGGCATAAATCTGGATCTAGTGAGTTGGTTCAGCGTGACTCCAGAAAGCATAGCATGGCATATTGCTAACAATCGCTTACGAGGTAGTCAGAGACTCAATTCGAGTAAAAAATAAAAATCCTTTATTTCCTCTCTCAAAACTTAAATACGTAACTACCCAGGTTTGACAAAGGTATAAATCTAGATGTAGGAGAGCTGGTTCAGCGTGACTCCAGAAAGCGTAGCATAGCGTATCGCCAACAATCGCTTACGATACAGTCAGAGACTCAATTCTAGTAAAAAATAAAAATCCTGTATTTCCTCTCTTAAAACTTAAATAAGTAACTACCCAGGTTCGACGAAGGCATAAATCTGGATCTAGTGAGTTGGTTCAGCGTGACTCCAGAAAGCATAGCATGGCATATTGCTAACAATCGCTTACGAGGTAGTCAGAGACTCAATTCGAGTAAAAAATAAAAATCCTTTATTTCCTCTCTCAAAACTTAAATACGTAACTACCCAGGTTTGACAAAGGTATAAATCTAGATGTAGGAGAGTTGGTTCAGCGTGACTCCAGAAAGCGTAGCATAGCGTATCGCCAACAATCGCTTACGATACAGTCAGAGACTCAATTATAGTAAAAAATAAAAATCCTGTATTTCCTCTCTTAAAACTTAAATACTTAACTACCCAGGTTCGACGAAGGCATAAAGCTGGATCTAGAGAGTTGGTTCAGCGTGACTCCAGAAAGCGTGGCGTGGCATATCGCCAACAAGTTCGCTTTCGATATCGTAATAGACGCATTCTGTGGCGCCGGTGGGAATACGATACAATTCGCCAGGACTTGTAAGAAGGGTGAGTACTTATAGAGTAAGATCCCAAGGTCGCCAGATCTTGCTTATTTTCTTATGGACAAAATGTGGACTGTTGTATTTTTTTCTTTTGATATTTAAAGTGTCTGGCAATAAAAACTGCCGATAGAAGATGTGTGGCAGTATTAATTTCAAATTGGTTACAATATTCTCTACAACGTATGTAAAAATCAGTCCTCAGACCTAAGTAAATAAAAATTTTACGTACCCGTGCCACCTGAGATCTATAAAATTGACCCACAGCACAAGTGAGCGAGTATGGATAAGTTCATTGTACACGCTAATACTACTCGATTATCCATATTTTGTCCATCACAAAATAATGAACGTCTGGCGGCCTTGGGATCTTGGACTATTAGTAGGGTAGTGTTATAATACGATAATATTAAAGATTTTTTATTAATTTTAATTTAATAATTGAAATACTTTATTGTTGATGTTATTATTATAAGTGTAATGGAAGTTAACATCAGTATGTGTTTTTTAAGTTTGTTGTCATCTTTAATTTTAGAGAAAACGAAAATTTTATTTATGCATATACAGGGTTAATTTTAAAATACCGTTAACCGCAGTACTTAATAGCTAAAATCATACACAACAACATTTGTTCTACGAGTTTTGAACATTGGTAACATTTTATTTTCATACATAAATAAATATTAAATAAAGGACAATGGGCAAAACACACCCAGTTCTGCCAACAATGCAATTAGAATGAATCGATAGATCTATGAAAAACTAGCCTTTTTTATTATGACACCGTAAAAAATATCCTGGTAGTCAAAAGATATGACACACGGGCATATTTAAGTAGCTCAATAAATTCATTTTATAGTACCTTCATTTTATATTATTAGTAACCATAATAATATGCCATATCGTACTATACAACCAGATATACGACAAAGCCTGCCGACCATCCTGCGCTTGCACTTACTGAGACACCTCAAAACGGTTTACGGGCGTTGAAGGACTGCAGTTGCAATAGTCGACTCGTCTTACTTCGTTGTGATTGTGCGCTCCCTGTCACTTGATTGATTTTTATCTAACACGCTTTGGACCTTGGATCACGATTATTATCGGTTTTGTCATTTAGTATGGATGATATAGAATCATGTTTTCTACAAAGCGTGGACAAGTTTGTGTGATTTGTCGTCGCTCCGTTTTACATAGAAGACAATTTACTATAACGAGCAGAATGTTTGAAAAAAATCCGACCCATGCGGGGATTTTTGGATTGACTCTAGCGTGGCAGAATAACATAAGGGGGCACCTTATGAAGTACTCCCATAATACCTAAACCCCCTGTGTAGGGTTGAACCAACTAACAAAATTATTCGCTTGTTTCATAAATGTTCGTTCGTTATAGTAGTTATACCTATTTATCTTAAAATAACTAAAGACCCCCGGGATGGAATATGATGCGCTTTGGCCCAGATGATCATGACTATAATACCTTACAAATAAATGTAGTTTAAGCCGTGGCGGCCGTGGGTGCAGTGTCCATACATTTTTGCCCAATGTCCTTTACTGCTCGAATGTTATTAACTCTACACAACTCGATAAATCCGTAGAATTCGGAAGTAGCGAGGGCGCGCGGGCGGGGCGGCGAACGGCGCCAGCGCCTTTGAACCCGATTGACCTATTTTCTACTTTCGCCAGTCGGCCGGGCCGGTGACTTTCATGCGCACGCATCGCATTTCCTTGTATGCAAATTTTCATCGCCGCACAGTGGACGGAAACTGTCAAAACTACGCGAGGCAGTAAATGTAATCTAAATGATTTTTTTTAAATACTCTTAATTTTGTCTGCTTTCTTGTAGCACTGCGAAAATTCACTTTTTTAGGGGTAGACCGTAGAAACCACCCCTATCAACCCCTAAGCAGGCTAAACCACCAGATTCTGGGTAAAACGAGTTCGATCAACTACATACTAATACTACTACGTCATAGTATGCCTGTATTAGTTATGTACCTAACTTATGTATAATTATTTGTGCGCGTGGGTGTGTAAACGTTTTTATGAGGTAAACTATTTAAGAAAGTTTAATAGTATATTAAGGGTTGACATTATTGTTTCAAAAAAAAAAGTGAAAATATCATACTGTGTGTGCGCGCGTGTATATGTTATATTTTTTTGTTGAACTAGATAGGTTTTTATACATATAAAAGATTATAACGAGAGCTGCTGCCGACAAACTGTTACACAGTTTGTTTGTCAGATGTATACATAGTGTTAACATGTGTAATATTGTGGAATATAAATAAAAAAAAAACATGTTATTTTATACAAATTTGGTCTGACACCCTGAATTAACACATAGGCGCATTATACCGCGGGAAAATATCCCTAATAAACCGCGGGTAACACCGCGGGGCACAGCAAGTTTAATATAAGCTTTCAATCGAAGATGGTGTGGTGACTTTCATAAGTGCCTGTAGCAGCCTCATCTAGATATACGATATTAAATTTGAATTATGATTGGTGTTACACAGTGATAGCGATCGACATAGACCCGGTGAAGGTTGAGATGGCTCGCCACAACGCTACCGTTTACGGAGTCGCCGACCGTATAGAGTTCAGAGTGGGGGACTTCTTCACGATGGCACCCCAACTGGAGGCCGATATGGTGTTCCTTAGCCCGCCCTGGGGGGGTCCCAACTATTCCGAGGTAAGACCGTAGTAGATAGATCTAGAAAAGCAAGGCCCACTTGCGGCAAATTTGAGAAGAAACGTGACATGTTTAGACAATATGGGCTAAATCTAGTATTAGTTAAATTGATATTTAACAAGTAGACCTATAATAAATGAAATAGCATGATATCTTAGACTTTACTGTAGGGGATTTCATCACGATGGGACCCCAATAGGGTATTTGACAAGTTTTAGAAAACGATCTCACGTTATTTACTAATGTTTATAGAGTCCATAAAAAGTGGATATTCATCATTATGTTGTGTATTTCGGTAAAAAAACTAAATCAAAAACACTATTTTCAACTTACCGCGAAAAAGGTATCTCTTGGCAATATTGCGTCTCACTGGTGTGTGGCGTCACACGACTGTCATTAAACGTCAAACCATACAATCTATTGTCACTTTAAGTTTACTTGCGTGTGACGTCATTTTAGGCTCCATCAATCCCAAGCGTTTTGGGTCACGTGACAATAGACAAGAAAACTATTATCTTTATCGTGGGTTTTTAGTAAAAATTACGGATATTTTTACTGCAAAAATAGTAGTAACTCCTGCCAATAATCATTTTAAATACAGATGCTAACAATTGGCACTTTATTTTTAATACTGTCAAATTCCCTATTGGAGGCGGAAGAGTAAGATCCAGTTGCAGCAAATTTGCAAAATCTCGGTTCGACTAAAACTTGAATTGACACACTGATAAAAATGGCAATGTTAATTTGACATTATCTCACTTATTGACGTCTGCGATTACGGCTATAGGGCACCGTGATTGCTCAATAAATCAGCTTTTTTTTTGTTAATTGCAATTTTGTTAATTGCAATTCAACCTTTAGCAATATGACACAAGAACGAACTTTGATTATGTATAATATAACCAGCGAACTATACTACCTTAAAGCCCACATATAGCAAAATTGCTAACAAACACTAGATTTTAATTTTTACCCTTACAAAAATGTCAATTTGACAATAGACATTTTCCTATTGAATCTAGTTTTCGTTGAATCGAGATTAAGCTAATTTGCTGCGAGTGGGCCTTAACCTGGTAATTTGTCACAAGCCCTAAAGGCTCAATAGGGTATTTGACAAGTTTTAGAAAACGATGTCACTTTATTGACTAATGTTTATGGAGTCCGTAAAAAGTGGATATTCATCATTCTGTTGTGTATTTCAGTAAAAATAACCAAATAAAAAACACCATTTTCAAGTTGCCTCGTAAACGTTTCTATGGACAAAATGGCGTCTTACTGTGACGTCACACGATTGTTATTAAAACGTCAAACGATACAATGTAATGTCACTTTAACCGGAAGTTTACTTGCGTGTGACGTCATTTTCTATTATCTTTTTCGTGGGTTTTTGGTAAAATCATGAATATTTTTTTGTAAAAATCCCTGCCAATATTCATTCTAAACACAGATGCTAACAATTGGCACTTTATTTTTAATACTGTCAAATATCCTATTGAATACCCGAATTCCATTGACATTCGTATTCTCGGCTAACGACCAAGTGTAATGGCGCCATAAAAATAGCTAGCTCTCTATTTTATTCCAGAACTACGAGTACGATTTGGAAACAATGTTGGAACCGAAACCAGCGTCGGAGTTGATGGACGTCGCTAGGAACATAACCACCAATATAGCACTCTACCTGCCTAGAAATACTAGATCGGATCAGGTAATTATTTAGTACTAGCGGCCGCCGGCGACTTCGTACGCGTTGAGTTAGTTAGAAATAAAGGTTCACCGCTCCCCGTAGGTGATAGCGTGATAATATAGAGCCTATATGTGAACCTGACTTCTTAATAATATTCGTGCTAAATTTGAAGTAAATCCATGCAGTAGGTACTTTTTGAGTTTATCCCGGACATACATGCAGACAAAAATTCTAAAAACTATATTCTTGACTTCTTTTAAAAAAATATTCAATGTACAGTTTTGACTGTCCTTGCATTTTATTATATGTATAACCTAGTTCCTCGCGTACTGGAAAAATTATACTTTAACCATTTAGTTTTTCTGTCAAAAAGTCATTGTGTGTCGCATGACATTCGAGATCTCTACTATATTTTGTAAAAAATATATAGAGGCCCGCCCTAGCTTGGATTTTTTGAAAAAGCTATAGTCTATATTCATCAGGAATAACGTTGGTTTCTAAATGTGAAAGAATTTTTGAAATTGGTTCAGTAGTTTCGGAGCCTATTGAATACAAACAAACAATTAAATCTTTTCTCTTTATAAAATTAGTTTGATATCAGCTGTCTGCACTCTTTCATGTTGTATTTGGCGACCTCTGTGGAGTAAGTGTTTTGAAGGTGACGCCTACTCAGAGATCATGGGTTTGAATTCCAGAGGGGAAAATGTTTGTGCGGTAAATACCAGCATTTGCACCTAAGTCATGACTGTTTTTATTTGTTTTTGTGGGGCTAGGCTAATTGGTGTGTGCTAGAAATATTTATGTAAAGATAGTGATATAACAAAACGTAATTTTCGTTACAGATAATAACGATAGCCAAAGAAATCGGAAGTTCAGTGGAAGTGGAACAGAGTTACCTCGACAAGCGTTTTGTTGCGATCACGGCGTACTTCTATCAAAATAACGAACTTTAATAGCACTCAGTGATATTTTTACTCTTATGAACCGTTCTGTGCGCTTTTAATCAAAGTACTTTTAACTCTATAATGTAACAACATCACATGGCTACTCGTATTTGCTATTGATAAATTTGACAGCAGGCTATCTTTATCATGTTCTATAGCGAATGAAAAGGAGAGATAGCCATGTGAAATGCCAACATAACTGTATGAATGTTTGATTCGGTAGTTTGCGGCAAACTTCTTGAGCAAAACCACAAACAAAAAAAGTTGCCTTTTTTGTATATAAAATTGCAACTGCACGGCCTTCCTTGTCTATTGTCGTTGCTCAATAAGTTTGCCAGGGTTATTGTATATCGTGGAAAATATAAAATAGAGCAATTAATTTCATAATGTATTCAAATTGTCTTCGTTACTGATTCTTTAATTCGTAGAAAAAAACTAAGCAATATATAGGGAATATATAAAAATATCTATATATTAATATACCTAATGAACTTGCTTTTATCGAATTTTTAAAGAAAATAATCTATACTTCTTGTGTGATCATTTGTTGTCATGTTAATAAAAAAGATCTTTATTACTAAACACGTACTTATAGTTGAATATAGAATTCACACGGAAAAAAAAACATTTATTTTGTAGTATTTTGGATTGGACCTTTGTTAACAGATTGTTATGAGAATTATTTTATAAAAAGATATTAACAAAAATATGTCAAATTTTATACTATTGCGCATCAATTACATATGTAGTAACTTTGTAATTTTACAAATGTATCTATTTAAATACATGGAAATTGTTTTACGAGATCAATAACGTAAACCCATTTTCAGATATTAGAGTACCTATGTACTACTTCTTTTTTGTTTTTATCATATAGAAGCATATTGGGTACGCTTTTAAATACTGAGAAAAAAATTGTAATCGCGAAAAGTATAGCTAAGAGTAAATCTTTTATTAACTTAAAAGAAACCGTAAAAGCTTCCAAAATTAGTAAGTACTATTTCCTGAACTCCAAAATAATCTGATAAGTGTAATAGAAATTATATTTGTATCTTGTACACATTTATCATCATTGAATATAAATCAAATTTAATTCTGTCACAATGCTTCAGATGTGGTTGTACACCTTATCCAATTGTATATGTAAAATGTACCCTATGTCTAATTATTTAAGTCTTATAAAGCAATAACAAGTTGAAAAGCATTTAGAGTGTATTTTATGGAGAAAATGTTATTGTGTGGCTTATTATAAGTAAACAAGATTGTATGTTCTTTGTACATACTTATATTTTAAACATATTCAATATGCAACTCATGCTCAAACAAATAAAGTTGTGTTAACTTTTTGCTGATTTAAAAGTTATAAACCTATTAATGATAAGTAGTAGGTACTTTATTACTTTAAATGACAAATAATTTAAAATAATCGTGAAAAAACAAATTCATCTAATATTAATTAGGCAGATGGATATCTTGTATTGTGATTGTATAAATGTTGTGATCTGTAAATATATGTTGATGAAAATAAAGTTAATACTGAGTGACAGAAATTTGTTTTTTATTGGTAAAGAAGAACAGGAAAGTAGATACATACATGTTCTGTTTTACATGTTAATATGGATGAAATTTGGCACAAATAGTTGGTAAACAGAATGATCATCCAAAATAGTGGTTTTTAACCTTGTTTATTGATGAGGGACCATTTGTTAAAATTACTGTCTTGCTGCAGACCACTAGTTAAGATTTGTCCCTTTAGAAATTGTATACTAATGAGCATTCTTCCTTGTTTTCTTCAAATTTGCTTTGCAGACCACTTTGCATGCCTCCAGGGAACACCAGTTAAGAACCACTGATCTCAAGAATAACTTTAAAGTATTTTATTTCTGTAGGATTCACAAATACAATCAGCTAGATGATTGCCATTTGAAACAGACTATAGACGTGTCTCGCTTCTCCCTATTGAAATCTTAATTCGAATAAAGTTTCAAACAAAATCTCATAGATTCATATGAAAAAATAATGGAAAAAGACATTTTTATTTTCTCATCATTTCATAGTTCATTTGGATGTTTGGAAACTAAGTTAAAAGAATTCAACATTGTTTGACAGTTCGTTTATTTTGCAATAAACAATTTTGGTACATACACTAAAAATTAACTTAGCATTAGCAAACTTAACCTAATAGTAATGACTACTGTTATTCCTTCATTTCACCCTCTTCATCTTCTTCTTCTGCTCCTCTCACATAGAGAACATTATTGCATCTTATTAGTACTTCTCCGAGATTACCTGTAAAGCAACAAGCATTCAATCAATTGACAGCTGAAGATCAATAAAGACTAACCTATTCAAGGATATAATAATACAAGCCATCAGCCCCTTGAATGTCTGTTCAGGAGGCTGATCGAGCTAAATGTGAAACAAATAAAACAATGAACCATAAACGAATTGCAACTTTTTACAACATTTTGTATCGCCCTAAAGATTTGACAGATGTAAACGTATCATGATTGGACCGTCACGGTTCCCAACTTAGGGGTTTTGCCCCCAGATTTATGGGCTAGAAGTGTTAAAATGGACTTTTTTATGGACATTTAGGGCTTTTTATAAAACTTGCAATTAAATCGAAAAACAAAGCGTGTTTTTCCTTTCAGTTTGGGAAACTGTATTTATTCAATGATATAATTTACTGTAACTACATATGGAACGTTTTAATTTATGAGCAACGAAAGAATTTAGGTAATAAATAGGTACATATAAAATTCTATACTAAGGGCAATACTTAGGGGAAAATTTTAGTAAGGGCTGGTAACAGTGTGGACCATACTCCAGTAAAATTCAGTCCAAAACATATTTCAGTTGGCAGGTGAAAATAAGTGCGATACAGATTTCGTTTAAAGTTGAGCTGCAATTAGAATTGGATTATGATTGAACTTAGGCGGATCGTTCAAAACAATAAATAGCGCGATTGGCCTGCAGGGCATTCTTAGGTTATTCTGGTTTTGTGTATGAGTATTATTGTTGATGCTTCCACTTACCTGTACATGATCCATCTACTATCTCTTCCGTGTTGGCAAGTTGTAAGTTCATATAGCCATCAGCCGATACTAGTAAGCCCTTGTATTCGTGTCCCCACTTTAGCTTGACTAGTACAGATTTACCGGTCAAACTGTTGAGGAATGGTTTGGGGTTGATAGGCATAGCCGCCGCCATTTTTGCGATTTTCTGAAAACATCAACAAATAATGAATATTTATGTATAAACCATCTAGCTTTTATTACTAAAAAACAAATAGAACATACCTTTGTTATTTAATTGTAGAAAAACACGGCAAACAACTTGATGCTAACCTTAAAAAGTAATTGCCACAGAGTACAGCAGTGCTGCCAACTCCAAAAAATATTTCATGCTAAATCGACGTTAAAAAAATGCTAAATTTTAAAAAAATATGTCAAAATATAATGCTAACCACTAATGTCCATTACCGATATTTGTTATATAAGATTGTAACTGTAATGTATGTGATAAAATATTAGTGTCAATTAGTAACAATACAAATATAAAAGATATATTAAGTTTAATGTTGATTAGTTATACAGCCATTCTTTAAATTCTATCATTGATACCCACTCTGAACGTTTATGCTGAGTATATTTCGCAGTCATTGTTAAAATAATATTAGAAACAGAACAATACAAAATTACCACTACTACCCGTGTAAATGTATTGTTTGTTTGCTAGCCAGCCAAGTAACTAATATGATAATAATGATTATCTTGTTAGTAAGTTGGCTTAATCATAAAATAACAATTCATTAATTCATTCATCTGTTTTTCAATTCGGGGATTCTCGCATAGTAAAGACAACGAAACGAGCGACGCATAGACTAATTAAAATAGTTTTTGAACGACAGTGAAGTAGCAACTAGTGTGATATTTTTTTATCGTTAATGGCTGAACAACAAAAAATTGATAAAACAGTGCGCCGATTGGAGAGCGGTCACGGCAAAAATTGAAACGTAATTTAATAACGTAGCATTTCATTTGTATTAAGTTACAAGACAATATGCTAAAAAATATGCTTCATGCTAAAATGATTTTTTTAAAGCTAAATCACTTAAAAATATGCTAAATTTAGCCATAAATATGCTAAATTGGCAGCACTGGAGTACAGACTACGTACAGACTCACAGACTACTTCTAGTATACTTTATGCAGACTACACAGTAGTACAGACACAGAGATTATAGATTATACTATTATTGGTAGCTTTCCAATTACAGCATTATAGCGCATTATGCGGCATAATGCTTAACGTTGAGTGTTCCAACTACAGCAACGCTTCGCACAATTGAGCACTCTCAAAAGTAATGCTTTTGTGTGATGCGTGCAATCGTACCAACTCAGAGACAGAAAGAAGGATGCCCATTTGTGACCTGTCAAACCGGAAAAAAAAAGTTGCATGTATAATTATGTGACATACCTCAAAAAAAAGGTAATTATTCGCTTATTACGAAATCAAAATATCAACAAAAACTACAATCCAGTTTTTTCAAAAATAATTTTTGAAAATAACCATTATGTAGGTACATTTTTTGCTATCACACGAACGCATCCATTAGGGAAGAGTATTGTATCAAAGTAAAATGACATAATTATGAACGCAGCTTGAATGTAGATTCGCACTCTGCTTTCCAATGTTGTCAGCCATGCGGTAAATACCGTATTTAAATGGTAATGTAATACTTAAAAGGCATGGCTTTAATTTAAAGTTTCTTTCCGTTCTTAACAAAGACTGGCCATTTTCTTATTGAAACATGACCGAAATAGTTAGGACTCCATCATTTCTTCGGCTGACTACATGAGAAGGAAATTCGTTCCGAAAAAATGCCAGCAATAATGACAGCTGCTCATAGTACCAATCATCTCAATTAATGGAAGGTATTGTAATTTTATTTTAGATTATTTCCTACTTATATACTTGTCTACCAGAGATTTAAATAATACATAGTTAAATGTCTTAGATGTCTATAGATATAATTAGGTAAAGGTCAAGATTATCATTTATTCATTCGCTTGCAGAAACTAAGACATTAAGTACCTACTATTTCAATAAAATAATTGAAACTGAATTATTGATTAAATATAAAAAAAAGACTTGTTTAATACCAAAGACAATATTATAAGGATGACACCTCAGCATGATACATGTTATGATATTAATCCTTTTTTCTTCAATCCTCAGATCAAGCTTCAATCAAACAAAACAAGCGAATTGAAATAAATACCTAGCTGGGCTAAGACACCACAGCTGTGACAGCACACAAATGAATAATCTTATGCTGGCACTTCACTTGGCTATATATGTAAACTTAACTTCAGTCTGTCCTTTTCTTTCCTTAAAACATGATAAGGACAGACTGTTGTCAAGTTTACAAATAGCCAAGTGAAGTTCCGGCATTAGATAATCTATAATCAATCTCGTAACCACAGAGTAAGTAAATGACATCTTCAGCAGTTGAATAACCTCAGAATTAGTTTTCGTTATAACTTCTATTCCTCATTGCCAAATCAAACCAAATTAGCAACATTATTTCAGAAGATTGTAATAAATAATTAACAACCTCAACAGTCAATATACATCCATAAAGAAAAAACCGAAGTGACAGGTTTTCGAATGTATGGGCAGTGGGCATTGTTCATTAACAAGTGTTTTTTCTTTAAGTTGGCATTGATCGAAATGTTTTATTTATATGTTATTGTTAGTAATATTATTTATTGTTGAAAAATTATTAAAACTTTCGTTTAATCATATTTTTTTTAAATAATAAAGTTAATTCAAACTGTGTTAAAAATTAAATATTAATATGGATGAAGGTACAAACATTGACTTTTTTTCCAACACTGAACTAAGCGCACTCTGCTGGTGCATTTGAAAACTAATTCACGTTCCAATTAAGCATCAGCATAATTCGGCATTGTGCGCCACTGAGTCGCATTATGCTCTGTAATTGGAAAACCACCATTAAGTGCCGGTACCACTTCACTTTTGATAAACTTGACAACTGTCTGTCTTTTTCATTACCTAAGAAAGTATGTTAAAAAAAGACTGTTGTGATGTGAACTTCTTAATCTTAATAGCCAATTCGTATTGGGGTTATTGGCGGGATTTCAGCGAGTGTGGCTGGCGTCAAATTTTAATTATTCTTTAAATTCGGTCATAGAAGATATTTATTGATTATATTGTGAAATAAAATTGGTGTAATTTTGTGTTAGAGTAGTCTGCGCAACTGAAGAATTAACGATATCTTTAAAATACTCGCTATTCCGGTCTAGTGGACGTGAGAATTTTATTGTAGTGTTGACTACCTGACAGAAGCTTATTGAAACTTGATACATTTCGTGCCCAACACTCAAAGAAACATTAGAATGCATCACACCGACATTCTAATGTAAAAAAAAGAAGATTAATATAACTAAGATTAGGCTGTATGGGCATTTTTCCCTTTGCCTTCTCTAAAACAGGAGAAATTTGAAAAAATAAATAAATTAAATGATGTGCCCTCACTGCACTTGGCTATACGTATTTGTTATTTGTCATTTTGACAGCCAGTTGTCCTTATCACACTTCTTATAAAAAAATTAAAAGGAGAGACTATTGTAAAGTTTACAAATAATAAGGTACTCTGTGGTTTACAAATAGCAAACACGAATGGCCTAGTGAAGTGCCGGCATGCTTGACGACAATGCTTGACAGCGAGTGGCCAGCGCGGCGCCTTCAAGCAAAACTTTATTTTTAAAGAAATAAACACTAAATGAACTCTAAATATCGTAAACTATAACAAATAATACTTACGCTACAATGTCATTTACAGGTTTTAGCGAAGAAGACTTGCAACGAATTAAATCCAATCATATTACTGGAAGTGCAACTAATGGTATTGTAAAAAATGTTTGTTCTTAGTTTTTTCCACAGGTTTTTTCATTTGTAGTACCAAGTTTTTATGTGCGAAACAATGTTTTTTCGTTGGTCTCGGCTACATCGAATTCATGTGTACATCTTACTTTGCATCGATTGATACTGCTATTGATTTGATTTGGGGTGCCTGAATTTATTTTCTGCTGATCATAATAGAATTTAATTTGTATAGTACTATATTTCCGGGAACGTAATAACAAAATTTCTATTTCAACAAATTATTACATATACTGTGTTAAAATAAAACTAAATTACTAGGTTGTTATATCTACACAGGATGTTACATGATAAAAACAGCAAATGAGTTGATTTGAAAACCATTCACACAGGTTATCTTTTAATTTTCAATTCAACAAACTAGCTCAATGAAATAGATTCACGTATGCTTAATTTGCAGATGTAATGGCCTAGGAAAGATGTGAGTACAATATTTGTTGTATATTTTCAGATTTTCCCATAAACACATCTACCATAAAAAAGTTGGACAGACTCGGAGCCAAATCAAAAAGAACTGTCAATTCATATAAAGTACCCACTATGCAACAAGAAACATCTGATGAAGCATTAGATGACATAGATTTCAAGAAGTGCAAGCTTAGTTTACGAAGTACATCAATCAATTCACAAGAACAAGAAATTGCACAACCTGAAACAGAAGATAGTATGCAATCTGAGGATTTACTTGATTTGAATGAGAATATTGCAGAATTAAACATGGAACATGCAATTGAAGAAACTAACATACATAACAGTCATTCTAACAATGATTTGAGAAAATACAGCACTACTAGTACTCCTGATATAGTAAGGGGCGTTACTGATTATACTGAAGATGAGTTGGCAGCTCACAGAGCAAAACTTGAGGAGTTGCAGCTAAAACAGAAGATTATGGAAGAGCAGAATAAAAAGAGGAAAGAAATGCTGGCTAAAGCTTTGGCTGATAGGTATGAACATTAATCGTAATTATATTTTCTGCAAACAGCTCATAACTATGTTTATAACTTACGTTCAGTAATGAAATACTGTAATGTTTTATGAACCTGAAAGAGGTTATGAAATAATAGAGCCTTGTAAAATTGGAACTTGAATTGCTTTGGTATGCAATGCATCAAATAAGAATCTACAATACAAACACATATTTACTAAGAATTTATTCCTTTCATGTCATATCTTACACAGCTCTGTATCACATTGCTCTATTTCATTAAAGATTTGAAATAAGGAGCTGTACTATGAACTTAATATTGATCAGATAAATGTTATACAACATAAGCAGTTGTCAAATATTTTTATCTGTGTTATCATTTGAAGAGTGAGCACTAGTAACTCCCTATGGATGTTGTATTTCAATTGTTACTGTATAATATGTCTGGATTTCTTATATTAAAAAAATAAATTTGAAGAAATGATTGATTTTTCAAAATACAGTAAATTTATGACACTAATAAGGAAACCCATATGGTATTAAAATAACTCTGCTTAATTTTTAGTTTTAACCTCTATATTTTTTCATGTTTACATAATTTTTATAAACAATTTCAGGACAAAACAAACTGAAGAAGAAGTAATGAGGTTAGAGAAGATAAAGAAAGAGCTCCAAGTGTTAGACGGGCAGTTCTCTCTAGATGTTGCTGTTTTGAGAAAAAAAATTGACCAAGCATGTCTAAGTTTTGCTGAAGCAGAGTGAGTTTTTTGTAATATTTGAACTATAAATTATGTTTTAGTTATTTAACACTAGTTTCAAATTATTACTTTTGACATAAAATATGTACTATATATACAGCAATCACTAATTTTCATCATTATTCGAGTTAATTCATTGTAATGTGTAAAATTATATACTGGAAAAGGATATAGTTTTTATGTATTTTATAAAAAATTAAGAGACAAGCATTTTATATACTTTAATTATATGTATTTTACGATTCAAGAAGATTTGAAATTTTGTTTCTCTGTGAACGCTCTCATACAACGCCATTTTTATGTTAAGTGTTTGCACTGTATATAAACATGCACTTAGGACTGTACTCACAGAAAACTATTAACTTTGAACTTTAATTAAAGTTAATGCAGTTACTTTTCAACCTACACCAACAGAGTAAGACACCATATGACTTTTAATGACATTTAATTAATTTGATGTCTCTGTGAACAGCAGAGAGACTAACTAAATAGTGCTCTGATAAGGTACACCATTATAAATAAATAAGTAAATATTTCTAACACTTACACTAATTAGCCTAGCCCCAAAGTAAGCACTGTAAAGCTTGTGTTATGGGATACTAATACTAGGGTAACGGATAGAATACATATTCAGTACATATATAAGTATATTTATATCGAAATACGTATTAAACATCCATGACATACGTATTAAACATCCATTTATGTACACACATATGCTCGTATTCACCACACAAACATCTGCCCCCACCGGGATTCAAAACCGGGACCTCTCGAGTCGTTGAAACAATGAAACCCAGCATACAAACCATTCGGCCACATTGGTTGTCAATTATGATTTCAGAGTCTGGATTATTGTGTGCCAAATATTATGTAGTTCTGATACCTTCTTTATTCATTACGGAAACATAGCTGCCAAATGGATACATTTTGTACGCTCTACAATTTATGATTTTGTTGGCAGGAAACATTACCTCAAAGTTGAAAAAGAGTTCCTTCAAGCCAAAATCACTTTACAAAAGGAGAAAGAGAAGAAAGAATTGCTCACAGAGCACTTGTGTGCATTAATTACACACAATGAAACCAGAAAAGCACAAAAGTTGGAAACGCTAATGCTAGAACTTGCCAGTGACAAGAAATTGAATGTAGATGATACTTCGAAGCCTATAGAAGATGAGGAACCAATCATTATTGATGGTGTTGACCAAAAGACTGGTAAGATTGTGGAAATACCAATCAGTAGTTGAAATCAAAAGTGTAGCTAGTAATTTATTGGACATGTTTAGGTATTAATTTTACTATTTACTTATTTTATAGATTAACAAACGCAATATTAAATAATGTTAATTTTAGATAATCATGAAACGTTAATTTAATTATTCATATATATTTACAACGAAATCCAAATAATGGTGCAATTGCCTAAAAGGGTCAGTATTTATTTTTTTAAACTGTACAATGTGCCTTGAATATGTACCTCTTGTTAAACAAGATAATTTAGACTGTAATATAGCATTTAAGTTCAATAACATAGCATTTAATATTCTTATTTGAATAAGAAACTGTAACAAAAAATAATATTCGCAAAGTAAGTGACAAAGCAAATACAACAAAGTTTTTTAAGAGATTTTCAAATAATAAAGTGATATTTTTTTCATAATAACTTTATTTAATTTCATCTTTCAACATTTAACAAAAATATAGGTTTTATACATATTTAAAACAATAACAGCATACAATTAAATATTTACAAACTAGAAAATAACTAAACATAGAACAATAATGTACAGAGCATTACACAAATTGGGAGTATATTTCAGAATACTCTTTGAATGCCTTTTGGTTGTTGATTTTTATAAACTATGTTATTCTCAAGTATTGAATGGATGATAGTATAATGCATCAAAATTTACGCTTTCTAAATTCATTTTAGTTGTACGTAAATAACTGATTATGTCTATCTCCATAGCAACATTTTTTTTGCAAAAGTGAAAGGTTTTATAGTTGGAAGCTCGGATTACAGAACAAAAGGCAGATGAAGCTCACGGAACACGCAATGCGTGCCAATAAAGCAAATACGAAGTCAAAAGTAAATGCTTTCTTTGTCTTTGTGATCAGTTTTTGAAGAGGAGCTCGATGGTGCAAGTGGTTAGCGCGTTCGGCCGTGCGATCGTTGAAGTTAAGCAACTTTTGCAGTGGTCGGTCATTGGATGGGTAACCAAAAATTTACTATCTCGAGCTCCTCCGTGCTTTGGTCCCGGCTGCATCTGCATTTGTAAGCACCTACCAATCCGCACTGGGCCCGCGTGGTGGGTCATGGCCCAATCTCCCTATTCCATCCATAGGTAAGGCCTGTGCCCCAGCAGTGGGGACATTCATAGGCTGATGATGAACAGTTTATACGATGTTTGAACTAGGCGGCACAGTTTCAGTTTTGTTAAAAACTTAATATTCACGGGACGTATTCGCAACATGATGCGTTGTGGTGTTCGGACGCGAATTGATAGTCGCTTTTAATTTCGTATTTGCTGTGGTGGCACACATAGCGTGTTCCGTATGCTTCATCTGCCTTTTGTTCTGTATTATGGAGCTTTGGATTTTTTTTTGTATCTCCAGTCTTAGATGAAAGAGAGAGAGTTAATTCGGAGCAGTAAGTAACTCTTTAGGCTACTTTTGAACTGCAAATTGATCTCTATTATTACATAGGTATATGAAGCGGCAAATTTCTAGAGCAAAACCTGTCTGTGGTTATGCGCAATAGTCGTTTCTGTATGTAAAATTGCTACTGCGCATGCTTCCTTGTCTGTGGTCGTTGCTCAAGCAGTTTGCCGAAGTCAAATCATCCTACGACATTTACGGACGATGATTTGATAAATTGAATTTTCGCGAAAATCCTAGGCATTTTGCGAAAACACGGATAATTAGACAATTACGATAACATTTCTTAATCTTACTGAAAAAAGGTAGAATTATTCCGGAAGCGCGAGTCGCTTCAGTAAGATTGCTTATAGTAAATATTCTTGCGATCAGCCAGCTTATTCGTTCAATTTTTTGACATTTACAGTGTCTAACTAAAGTGAAAATTGCATATCCATCGATGCTTTTCAGAACAAATATCTTAGTGACGTTATATTAAAGCCGTAGTGGATCACCAAACCACAATCGGGTGATTATCACTTCCATCTAGGCTTGCCAGATGGCCGGAAAATCCGGGATTGTCCCGGAATTTTGCGTCGTGTTACTGGTAATTAGACTTATTGTCCCGGATTCCGATTATGTGCTAGTTTCGTAACAAAATAAACTAATAACGATTGACACCGCTGGCCTACTTGATGTCATGCAGATTCAATCAGACCCCCCAGAATTATATCCGGGGGTCGATGGGAGTTTGGTTTGTCCCGTGCAAAAAACGGGTGCAAATGTCCCGGAATTAATAAGCCAGCATCTGGCAACCCTTCTTCCATCTGTCAAAAGCACTTTTAACAAATAGGCCTACTGACTGGGATAGGTTTGTGTTGTGACCTTGAAGCGCGAGCGCAGCAATCGTGCCTTGGTAACGGTCGGCGATGTGTTTTTAAAAACTACACAAAATACACGGGAACTATTAGAGACAAGAAAAACATGTCATATCATTCGTAAGTACAACTTAAAGAAATTAATGTAAAAATATTTAGGGATTATATATTTTGACAGTTGCTGACACCGTTGACACGTGGAGGCATAAGAGCGAGATGTAATCTGCTTTATGCATGAGTGTGAAAGAGACTACTTTAGTGCGCTCTTTTGGCGGCTGTTGCCAAGGAAAGTTGGGGCGGGGACTACTTGTACCATTTCAAAATGCAATAATGTTGGCGTGTAACCTGTCTATATATTATACGTCATTGGTTAACAGTTACATTGAGCAATGTAAACGCCTTGTCTAATTCGCCGTGTTTTCGCAAAATCCCTAGAATGTTCAAGAAAAAATCGATTATATAATCCTACGACATATACACATGAATTATGATTTTGCTTTTTTTATGATAGCTGGTAATAGTTGTTTTTTATGGGTTCTAGTATTTGAACTTTATATTTATCCTTTTAAACAGATCTATTATGCTAGGATGAAATAATTTAATAACGTGTTATTTTCATAATACATTGATCTGATCCCATGAGTAGATAGTTATTGCGGTCTTTAGCTACTATAGAATCTGGGTTCTAGTAATGGAACTGTATATTAAACTTTTAATCGGATCTATCCTGCTAGGATGAAATAATTATATGACATGTCATTTTCATAAATACATTGATCTGATCCCATGAGTAGATAGTTATTGCGGTCTTTAGCTACTATAGAATCTGGGTTCTAGTAACTGTATATTAAACTTTTAATCGGATCTATTCTGCTAGGATGAAATAGTTTTATGACATGTCATTTTCATAATACATTGATCTGATCCCATGAGTAGGTAGTTATTGCGGTCTTTAGCTACTATAGAATCTGGGTTCTAGTAACTGTATATTAAACTTTTAATCGGATCTATTCTGCTAGGATGAAATAATTTAATGACATGTCATTTTCATAATACATTGAGATCTGTTCTCATGAGTAGTTATTGCGGTCTAGAATAGTAGCAATATTGTAATGTTTTCATACTAATGAAATAATACTGATGATGGTTGACACATCAATATTGCTACATTTTATTTAATCTATTATTGATACAACTTTTGGATGGAAAAGTGAAAATGACAAACTGTTTAACATGCAAACAACAGAGAAGCAAAATCCTCTTTCAAAATATGAGTACATGAAAAATATAAAAACGTGCATCAAAAACGGATTTCATTAATATAATTTTTTTTTTGAGGAATGGAGGTATTTAAAGTGTTATTTCATACTAACTAAACTTAAATAATATTTTACTCGACTAAAAATTGTCAACTAAAAGCTTTAATAACTAAAATACGTACTATTAACACTAGAATGGCCGACACTATTTAACAACAATTCGAGTTTTCTTCAAGTGAGTTACTTTACAAATATGTTTTACCATAAAATGTAACATTCTTGAACTCTCAACCTGTTTGTTTTATTTTTCTAGTTGTTTAAAGCTAAAAAAAATTTTACTGGAAAATCATTTTTATTTCTTTATACTTTATTGCACACATGAGTGTACAAGTGGCGGGATTAATGCTATTAGGCATTCTCTACCAGTCAACCGGTCAAAAACATGCCTTAGCAATCCTAAGAAATACCAGAAGAAATTCGACTCAGCCGTTATTGTCGTGGTAGCATAATTGGTAAGTGCATCCGCTCGATAGCGTAGGGTGTGGGTTCGAGTCCGGACGGCGGCTTCGACCGCGTGGTTTTCTAGTAATATTTTCTTTAGAACTGAACGATTCAAACTTAATGGTGGTTGTGAAGTTATCAACGATCAATCATAGACAAAGCGAATGGGGATTCCCAGTCCTTTAAACTAAAACGAAAGTATGAGAGAGACAAATCGATCGCGCGGTCCATGGTTCGTAGGTTTTGACTGTTTTTATCATTTTCATGTAAGTGTCGCTCAGTTCATTCTGTATGCCCATGATTCAATGACACAGTGAAATGTCGTTACATTTCGTTCATTGCGCCGCAACTCGCGCTAACATCACAATTAATATTAATAATAAATATTTCTAATAGCCTGCACAGACGAGGACTTTTGCCCACGTATTATAAAAAAAATGTCCGCAGAGGACTTTTCACATTTGTGGCTCGGAAATTTAGTGAAGCGCATGGGAGCAATATTCTGTGATTACAATGTATTGTAATTGACATGAAGTTTAAGAAAACGAGAACACTGGGCCCATCCCTTTATATCGAAATGATTATATATTTGTGTCGTTGATGTTTTTAGGGTTCCGTACCTCAAAAGGAAAAACGGAACCCTTATAGGATCACTTTGTTGTCCGTCTGTCCGTCCGTCCGTCTGTCAAGACCCTTTTTCTCAGGAACGCGTGGAGGTATGAAGCTGAAATTTATATCAATTACTCAAGTCTACTGTCCCTTGAAGCTGTGAAAAAATCAAACTTCTAAGCCAACGCAATCAAAAGATACAGCCGTTTATGCCGCAAATTTTCGACACTTGCAAGGGAATCAAAACCTACAGGGTGCTTCCCGTGAACTCAGAATCTTGAAATTTGGTACCAAGCAACGTCTTATAGCATAGATAAAGGAAAAATTACGAAAACCATAAATTTTTACTTACATCACATAATATATATTTTTTTAATAATTTTAACCTTACTACCCATTTCCTCATAAACGCGTAGAGGTATTAAATTGAAATTCATACCAAATACTCAGGTCTATAATACCTTTAAGCTGTAACAAAATCAAACTTCTATGTCAACGCAATCAAAAGAAACAGCAATTTAAGCTGCATATTTTGAAACTCGCAAGTACTCGCAAGGGAATCAAAACCTAAAGGGTACTTCCAGTCGACCTAGAATCTTGAAATTTGGCATGAAGCAACGTTTTATAGCACACATAAAGGAAAAATTCCGAAAACCTTAAATTTTTAGTTACATTACAAAATATATATTTTTTAATAAATATAAACTTATTACTTTTTTCCTCATGAACGCGTAGAGCTATCAAGTTGAAATTCATATCAAATACTTAGATCTAATTGCCTTTAACCCGTGAAAAAAAAAATTCTAAGTCAACGCAAAAACGCAAAACGCAAAAGTACAACCATATTACTTAAACGATAAAGAGATCTTTGTCTTAAATTTATGCTCCTCCATCTTTCCCCATTGTAATGTTATGAATTTCATTTTGCAATAAAAATACCATAGTTATGACTCGATTGTCGTAATGAACGAACTTTGTAAACCTTGCAGGTTTGTACGGAACCCTCGGTGCGCGAGTCCGATTCGCACTTGGCCGGTTTTTTTTCATTGATCAATACTCCCAATAAGCCTTATTGCTCAATGAAAACAAAAATCACAAAGTAAGGACTGTAAGTGTTGTGATATGAGATACTAATATAACAGATACATTATATAAGTAAATTTACCTAGAAAACAATAAAAACAGCTATTACTTAGTTAGATACAAATGCTCGCATTTATCATACAACATTTGTCCCACCGGTATTCGAATCCGGGACCTCTGAGTAGGCGACACCTTGAAACGTCATACCTACATACCACTCGCACAGCCATTAAGTTTGAATCGCACCACAGCGTTTAAAATTTTTGTGAGGTATGTATTTTATACGATGCCCTGACCAATCTAGTGTTAAATCACTGGTTCTATTGTCGTTTATAGAAGAATGTTCACCGTCGCTTGGTGAAGAACATCCTTCTGCCCGTATGCTATCCCCAGTTCCAATACGAATATTTGTTCTCGTGGTCTTTCAAAATGGTTTTGACGTTGGAGTCTGCCTTCTGCAGTTCTACGCGTTGGTCTCGCTCCATTTGGATGAGTTCTAGGCCTCGTTTTGCGGCGCAATGGTAGCGTTGGCTGAGGGAAGCCTCGGATCCTTTGATGCGTGGTATGTGACCGGTGTAGCCTGCTATTGGTGGGAACTCTGGTGATATAGAGTGGTCTGCAATAGGAATGTTACTGTTAATACGCTAGTAATGGTGCTTCATTTGAATTTGCATTTAAAATTTTTACTCGGAATGTACATTAATAAACATAAATTTCTGTAAAATCAGAAAGCTATCGCAAAAGAAAGCCGCATATTTTACTATATAATGCTAAGAAAGAGGGGGAAGCTGTTTTAATGCAAAATTCATGAGACCGCAGATTTTTGCGGTCCCCCAGCCCTCACCGACGCGCCGCGGTTACGCGAGCGCCTCCGAACTTGGCAGGAGAAGATCGTTAATCGGGCGCCATTTTCACAAACAGAATCGCGGAGAAATGAACTGTGATGATGGTTCACCTTTGTACTTGTTGATCTCACACCTCGACCTCTTTCGTTCCGAATAGACTATATCTTGGATTGGAAGACGCTTAGGTTCAGATCTGGCACATAACAAGTACATTCCCAAAGAAATCAACTGAGATAATGGCTCACCTTTATACTTGTTGATCTCACTTAAGCGGTCGAGTTCGCGATGTATTTCGTCCCGCGAATAGACGCTCTCCATCTTAATTTGGCAGACGCTTACGTTCAGAGCTGCCTCATAACAAGTACATTCCCAAAGAAATCAACTGAGATAATGGCTCACCTTAATACTTGTTGATCACACAGAAGCGGTCAAGGTCGCGACGTATTTCGCCCCGCGAATAGACTATCTCCATCTTGGACTGGATCTGCTAGATAACAAGTAGAATCCTAAAGAATTCAACTAAAATAATGGCTCACTCTTTTACTTATTGATCTAATTGAAGCGGTCGATATCGCGACGTATTTCATCCCACCAATGAACGGTCTCCATCTTGAGAGCTGCGCAAGCGCACGAAGCTTCGGTTCATATTCAGATCTGCTACATAACAAGTAGAATCCCAAGGAAATCAACTGAGATAATGGCTCACCTTTGTACTTATTGATCTCACTGAAGCGGTCGAGGTCGCGACGTATTTCGTCCCTAGAATGGATGGTCTCCATCTTGGGGGCGCTGCGCGAGCGCACAAAGCTTCGGTTCAGATCTGACCTGCAGCGCAACTCGCGCTGACTCTCAATAAAATCGGCCATGCAGTCGTCAGCCGCTCTGCCGTACGACTTGCCGTATCTGAAAGGGAATTCCTATTTGATCTTCGTTTTGATTACTTTTATTAATATATGTTGACATTTAGAAAAACAGAGAAAAGATTTTTGTGCTACATATCTTAAATTCTTGCGCATAAAACTTAACTTGTATATGCTTGTCATACAATCATAGCTTGACTAACTTTTAGTTTTTCTGCGACTACCATGGCTAATTCTCATTCTTTGTCGGGGTCGGATATCCTTTGGCCTAGGTGTGGGGACATCAATAGATTGATGATGAATGAAAGGATGTACGTTTTCTTACCTGAAATTCATACCGGGCACGTATCCCGTATACCCTGTCATGTACGCAGGCTGATGGTATTGTATCCCGTCGTAGACGTCTCGCTGCGGCGCTGGTCTCTTGGGCATATTGTGCAGCTCGTAGTTGTCGCCCGGCCGATATCGTAGCGGTTTGCTGCAACAATCACGATGAAGTGAGAATATTTAATTGTAACTAGCTTTTACTACAGGGTAGAGTAGGCTAATGCCAAATGTAACTTCGTAGGAACGTGGTTATGAGAGTGATGTGAGTTGGACGTTATGGTGCCTATTTATATATTATTTTTAATAAAAATATAAAACAGCCGCATTTGCTACCTGTCCGTTATAGACAGAAACCATTCGACTGATGTGTCTAAAACCGTTCCATTTCAAAGGCAATGATGCTATGATTAGACCACTAAAAACAATGCATTAAGCACATCCAGTCCATACATAAATGTCAGTGTGCGATTTTGCCCCAGTTTGGCAGATTCATCCAAATGTGATTTGTTTATGAGAAGTTATTATTTGGTATGCCATTTAAAAAATTTGGTTATCAAACAAAAGCAAAATAAATATTTAGCCATCATATACAAAGACTGTAAACAATCATGAAAATGGTCTGTAATTTAAAAATAAGCTGGCAAGCAAGTTTATTATGTGTCTGCAAAATAAACAGTCACATCTAAATATAATTATTTGGTCAGTAACATTTACAGAATTGAGCAGCAGAAACACCGTTGCTTTAAGCAGTGTATTTGATTGGTGTGCATATTTAAATTAAATAGTGTGAATTTCTGGCTAGCAATATAACAGTTAGATTGCGCTTTTATTGAAAAATCTCTACAATACAAAGAAAGATAAAAAGATACTTCCTCTTATTAGCATTGAGTCTATATTTAATATAAAAATCACTTGGTTCGGTAGTGTCCTGACCAAAGTGACCAAAACGCACGAACTCAGCGAGCGAAGCAAGCGTGCCGCGGCAGCGGCCGGCGAAGCGCCAGAAAAAAAGGATTGTTTATCATTGAAAATAATGTGTTTTTGGTGGAGAAGAGAAGTTGGAGTAGAGGGGTAATCCCCTACCTCTCACCTGACTGATTTTTTAATAACAATATCCTAAGAATAATTTGGTAGCCAAAAAATTAATTTTGGTAAATATGCATCCTCCAATTAAATTCTTTCCTTGACGCCTTGCGTAACGTATGGTCATGTTTGTCTAAGAGTGATAACTCCCTGGAAAATCTCCGAGCAACACTTACTTGAACAATCCCTTAGATCTTATTTCTCTTAGTATTTGTCTCGTGTTGTCGCCGTAACATTTTCCAAAACGGAATTTCAGCATAGGACAGTGCCCTGTATACCTGTAACAAGAAACGGTCAGGTTCATTCCATGAAGAAATTTTTTTGTTAAAGATTTACGTTCAAATAAAAATCAATAAATATTCCCAATTACGACTGGAGAACATTATAATTTGTTGACAATTTGTGAAAGAAATTATAAAGCCTGAGTATCACTTATAGTTCTCTAACTTGACTACTTTTTTTTATTTGAATATATTAATTAAGAAAAAAGAAAAATAGTATTTGTAAAACTATAGCAGATTCAACGTTTCATAATTTTATGTACATGGCACTTTTTCCAAATAAAGTTATTATTAAAGATAATATTATTATTAAGTATGGTGTGAATGTAAAGTTTGAAATCGATTTCAGTAGCGAATCCTGTCTTTGTGTGTATAGACCTATAGGAAAGTTAAGTACCTACTAAGTTTATTTCTATGCTTTTTTAGTAATACGAGGCGTATTATTTTGATTATAGTTTCTTTTGAAATAGTGCCGCAATGAAATGGGATTTTAACGTTTGTGAACATCAGATAGGTACGATAACCAAACGATTTACGACTAAGCATGATTTTTACTTCTTTCTTGGAAGACCAAGGCTAGATCCAAGGCGTTTTCCGGAAACAAATTCCGGAAAACGCCTCGGGGCCTAGCTAGTTTATGAAATGTGGCACCCTTGAATTGAGCTGTGATTCTGGTATGGCTTTGGCCATGTTATTTCTACTGAATTTATTTTTGAAGCTCAGTTAACTATTCAAGAAATATAATTATGGTGAGATTTCATCATCACGCTAATATTAAAAAGGCGAAAATTTGTGAGAAGTGTGTAAGAATGTTTGTTACTGCTTCGCGTCTAAACGGCTGAAGCGATTTTAATAAAATTTGGTATGGAGTTAGCTGACACCCTGGATTAACACATAGGCTACGTTTTACTGAGGGAAAATATGCCTAATAAACTGCGGGTAACACCGCGCGGCACAGCTAGTATTTAATATTTATGTAGGTACCTTGGGTTTTGCAGGTGTCCTGTACTATAATCAGCTAATGATTACAATTCCAAAATTCTAATCCAGTTTATAGATAAGCCGGATCTGACAGGTGCTAAGTTGTTAGGATTTTTTGAAATTGTAGTAATTGATTGGGAGATTACAAGGTTTAATTTGTTTTAACTGATAAAGCATACTATTTCTTATGGAGGCTTAGCTGTTGGGATCGTAGGTTGTGATGAAAGGACGCTTCAGTTAAGTATTCATAAATAAGAGGTTTTAATTATCTTTATTCATACTTCCAACCTATATATTCTATTCCATAATATTATAAATGTGAAAGTTAGTATGTTTATCTCTTTGTTACTTAATCACGTAAAAACGGATGAACGGATTTGGATAAATTTAACATACATAGAGCTTAAAACCTGAAATAAGACATAGGATACTTTTATCCCGGAAAAGTGTTAGGTTTCTAAGCATTTTCAAAAAACGCGGACATGGTCGTGGGCGGCCGCTAGTATTATAAATGAGAAAGTGTGTCTGTATGTCTGTTACCTTTTAACGCTTGAACCGCTGAATCGATTTAAATGATTTTTTCTTCAGATAGTTTGAGTCCCGGAGAAAGACATAGAATAGATTTTATCTTATTTAATATCATCATTTAAACGGGAGGGGGGGGGGGGTTCCACGCAGACGAACTCGCTGGCACCCACTAACTTATTTTTTTTATAGCGAGGTAGGCAAAGGACTCTACCCCACCTGATGTTAAGTGGTAATAAAGTCCAAAGTAGGATGGGCTGCCTGGTCCGCGTGGTTAAACATCTAGCAGTTAAATGCTTAAAAATAAATAAAATCATAACTATAATTGCTAAGAAATTCTTTCAAATGTTTAATACTTGAAAAAGTATTCATTTGACATTGTGGGTTACCTACAATGCGAAGAGATGGCGCTGCCTTGCAGCTTAAGGCTAGGAAAATTTCGACGCGGCTAATAGGGCCGTGGTAGCATAATGGTCAGTGCATTCGCCCGGATTGCGAAGGGTGCGGGTTCGAGTCCCGTCCGCTGCCTGGTCCGCGTGGATTTTTTCTAGTAAACTTTTGTTTAGATTTAAACATCTAGCAGTTAAATGCTTAAAAATAAATAAAATCATAAGTCCAAAGTATTAAAATCAAAATGTAAGTCTAAAAGTAGATAATATAACCCCAGAACTGATACGGCGTGAAATATGTTCTCGGATAGCATGCTACATTAAATCTCGAATATCGTTTCACGTTTAGCGGGTAATAGATTTTTCTACTCGATGAAATGGGTTGATCGACGATATCATCGACGAAATAAAATGCTGTCGGCTCCTGAACTCAAGCAATTTATTTTGCACCTCAATAATTTACATGTACTGGTAAAACATTTATTTCGGTGTAAGAAATATTATTACAAAATCAACTTGATCCATCATAAAAAAATGTTTTATGTGTAAGAGCGCCCATTAATCTATGTGCTAGGAATTCGTTGGGCTTATGCGGGGGTTGATTGTGTAAAGAAATTCTAAAGAATTAATGAATATGTAGTTACGACTTCGTTACGACATCCTCACTATAAAGACCTATACACGCGACAAAATAAATTCGTGCTTTACGAACTTACAACCTTAACCTTTACTAACGACTACAGAGTTCGTCATTTGAAGAACAAAAAAACATCGGGTCTTAGTTAAAAATGCTTTTTTAATCTTTCCGATTTCATTGCGGACAGTCTTCGTACACGAAGCAGTAGCCGGACGCCGGGTGTAACACAAAGGGGAAGTCGCAGTCGCATCTCGACCAATCGCAGATGATGCCCATAGATATGGCTACGGGCTCGTCGCATGTCCGCTGCGAGGGGGTGGGACGGCACTCGCTGTCGAGACGGTGCATGTTCTCTGGACACTCGTCTACACCTGGAAAATAATCATAATAAAAATATTTCTTACACACTAATTAGCCAAGCGCCTAAGCACGGCAAGGTTTGTGTTATGGGATACAGGGTAACGGGAACCTGCCGGGGATGACATGGAGAATCACCGGATCCCACGAAACCTGCACAAAGTGGGTAGGCCACCCCCGCTCATCCCGAGTAGCGATAGGTGGGATTTGGGGGGAAGTGGTCCCACATAAACTTGTCTCTCACGCAGGGGCTAGGTAGGCATCACGCATTTTTCCAACACAAAAATAGCGTAGGTAACGGGACATATGAGAATGCGACACCTTGAAACTTGGTGTACTACCACGGAGGACGTCATGAAAATGCAAGCATAAACAATAAACATCATTGACCATCAAAATGTAACATGTGGTCAATGCCAAACCACACTGCGGCATGTTATGGAACGATGTCCAAAGCGTCCCTACCGGGGCGACCCGAAGCAACTCTATGGGGAGCTTACACCTGCAGCTGTGGACAGAACCAGAAATAGTCAAACGCATATTAAGAAGTGGAATCTAAACGTTAAATCTCTGCAGCTATTGACTGACTGCGCGAACTGGACGTAGATTTAAGCTATCTATACGATTCAATAAATAAATAAATTGTATCATAATTATGGTGTCCCCTAAGTTTAATTGCTCTAAGCCTTGCTCATAGTAAAGTAACATATTCTTATCTCTTTAATCTAGACTGCCGATCCGCCCCGGCTTTGCACTGGTGAACTCTGTGTTAACGCGATAAAATATTGCCCATGTTACTCATGCTGGAGCCACACTAACGGGGAATGCCATTAATTATTGCGATGCTGAATGTTTAACGTATAGTACGCGCGCGATCTGAGTCCAGTAACCCTAGCACGAACCATTATCGAATTCGAATAGGTTGCAAACCGAAATGTCAATGTCAAATTTTGTATGGATAGGTACTTGAACAGCAGCGCCAGCGGCACAAATTACGTAACGAGAACAAAAAATCAGTACACATTTCATTTGACATTTCGGACTCGCTAACGATACGAATTCGATATTGGTTCGTGCTAGGGGTACAGTTCTGAAGAATACGCTAGTGCTCGCTAGAAGACAGTTGAGTTAGTCATCGCGATAATTGACGACCTCCGTTACCGAGTGGTTTGTACGCCGGGTTTCATGGTGTCGCCGACTTGAGAGGTCCCGGGTTCGAATCCCGGTGGGGGCAGATGTTAGTTTGATGAATATAGCATTGGTACTCCAGGCAGGGATGTTTGATATTTATTTCTATATAAATATATTTATATATGTACAGTATATGTATTCTATCCATTACCCTAGCATCCCATAACACAAGCCTACATTGCTTACTTTGGGGCTAGGCTAATTGGTGTGAGTGTTGGAAATATTTATTTATTTATTAATTAACGGCATTTCCTGTTAGTGTGACCATAGCATCAGGGATAATGTAGGATTATAAAGGGAATTCGTTCCAATCTATAAGTGTTCATTACAAACACAAATCTACTGATTTTAATAATAGGGGTGATGACGGGCTACAGTAAACGAAATTCTATTTAGTCCGTCAGTTAGATGATCAAAAATAATGGATACTTTTTTTTTGGGCAATCAACCACAAAATGGCAAAGTTATAGCGTGTCAAAGTTTGGGAGTAGGGGCTCGTGACGTCACTTTTGAGTGATTTTTTCACTAATTAAGTGTACTCAAACGTGACGTCATGCGACTTTTCAAATCAATATATCTCTGCACTATTTATAGTCCAATACTTTTTCATAATCTATGGGTTGTTCAACAAGAACTTTGTTTTTGAATTGTGGCTACACCATCAATATGATAGTTTTCACATATTTTAGTTTTTTGACGTTTTCGTAGAAGATGCATTGGCAATTGTAAAAATGAATTAAATTTTGCTTGAAAATCGAATTAAAATAATTAAAATTCACTATGAAAATAGTGGTTCTGTTACAGTTACATTTTGTCAAATTCGTGATATTTTCGGACAACATAATCGTCCTTCTGAGACCGCTATTAAGAATTTGGTCGTTAAATTTGAGTCGACAGGCTCGATACAAAATGTGCCA